TTTTTTAAAGAACATCAAAAGAATTGATAAATTATCTAGATAAACTAATAAAGAAAAAAGAGAGACAAAAATTACCAATATCAAGACATAAAAAGGGGATACCACTAAGATCCTACATACAGTAAAAGCACAAGGGATATTAAGAACAATTTGACAACAAAAATGTGCAACACGAAATGGACACAAACTATAAAATTTAGTCCAAAGAGAAACAGAGAACTGGAATTGTTCTGTATCTACTAAGAAATAAAATTTGTAATTTAAAAACCTTCCCTGCAAAAAATCTCCAGCTACAGAGAATTCATTGGTGAATTCTGGCAAACATGTAAGAAGAAATAACATCAATCCTACACAAACACCTTCAGAAAGTAAAGGAGGAGGGAACAATGTCCAACACATTTTGAGGCTACTACCACCCAGATATTACAACCAAAAATATTACAAGCAAACTGCAGACCAGTATCTTTCATGAACATAGATGCAAAAATCTTTAACAAATATTAGCCAACTGAATCCCACAATATATAAGAAGAATACTACTTCATAACCAAGTGGAGTCTGTTACAGAAATTAAAAGCTAGTTAAATATTCAAAAGTTTCACCATGTTACCCAGGCTAGTCTCCAACTCCTGGGCTCAAGCCCAGCCTTGTGAGTCTGCTTCAGCCTCACAAAGTGCTGGGATTATAGTGTGGGCGACTGTGCCCAGCCTTACCATTTTATTTTTCAGTGCATTTACACTTTATTGTGTTTCTCTTAGGTTAGTTTTTTAAAAATCCACACCTCTCAGTCAGGAAGAAAAACGCCTCAAAGCCCACATACTTTACCAACCAACTAGAGCATTTACCTGTCACATGGTTGTTTAGCATGTACTTAGGTGGGGGAAAGATGACTCTATGCTTTGTTTACAGACTCACAAATTATCTTCATGAGAATTTAAAAATAAGTTCTTTGAAGTTAAAACTGATCTTAATGAGAGGTTTCCACAAGAATGAAAAGATTAAAAAGCAGTATACCTGTGGTGATGGCTGCTGAATATATCCCTGCTGCTGGAGCACAGGTTGGCTGACAGGATGACCAGAGGCAGAATACCCAGCAGTAGGGACTGGCTGCCCAGGTGGTAGGGGAGGAGGAGGAGGTGGTGGTGGTGGTGGTGGAGGAGGATGTGGTGGAGGGGCCGCTGTCATGATATAACCAGACTGCTGTGGAGACTGAAGAACCACAGTGGACTGGAGCATGGCGGCATGAGGGTCAGAACCATCAGCAGATGGCTGGCGAGCAAGACTCATGTGGCTAAACTGAGACCCAAGGTTATCCTGCTAAGAAAGGAACAAGTCAAAAATTAGTAAGCCCTCTACACACAGGCCAAACTTATCAAAGAAAAATACTTCCTATTTTTAAATAAGGTGCAATAGTACACATTATGAAAATTATATATATCTACCAAAGAAATGATGTAATAGAGTGACGCTTCAAGAAAATGACAACTCTATTGCTGAATATTACAATGCTGTCATTATAAATTATTTAAAAAATATATCTAATGGTGATGTACAGCATGCAGAAAACAGTAGGGTGCCACATTTCACATTAAAAAATGAAAAGACATTTATTTAAATGAAGATGAAAGGAACATTAGAATGTAGAAGTGAAATTGGCATGTTCTTATTATACAATTAATATTTTCTGAAAGGACTTCAAAGACCAAGCAATGAGCAAGGTACTAATTAGTATTTGCTTTAAACTATCTCCTTTCTTCCTAGAAGGCAAAATTCAAATTCTATGCATTTTTGTATCCCTAACCATCAAAATTACTTGCAGAAATTAAATACATAAAATCCAACTACACAGTCCTTTCTCTAATCTCTTAAAAATAATTTGGCCATACATTCCATTCTTCCCTTGTGTTGTTTTTCAGTCTGTTCCTGAAGTCATATATTTGACAACTGTAATTCAAATGACAGTTTCCTACGCTTTTGCTAAATGGTGCCCTACCAAGACAAGGGTTATGATTTATGTGCTATCTGACAAACATTTCTCTAACTCAGCAGCATAAGGATCAGCTCTTATTGTTCCAGAAAAATATCACTGAAATGATGATATGGGGTTAAAATGCTCCCTGTTCCCAAGAAACCACAGACTGGCAACAAAATATACCACATTTTGACAAGAGGTCAACAATGAAAAAAATGACTTACAACACTATGGCAATTGAGTCATCAGATCAAAGTTGACACGTCTGCAGTTTCTAGATCTGCTGGATTTTGCAAAGTAAATTAAGGCTATGGAGAAGATAAAGGACTGAAAGGAGATGCCTGATTTAATGATTGGAAATATATGGTTTCTCTCTTCCCAAACTGTCACACTGATATACTCTGGCACTATCAGCCTAATTCAGGGAATGGTTTCAAAAGGAAAAAACATACATATGGACTGTAATTTCAACATTATATAATCAAATATTGTTAACACAAGTACCATAACTGTAACACCACTCTCAGAGTCACCTTGGATAAAAGTCATTTTCTTATTGCAATAAAAATTGGGGCATATTTCGGATTAAAGAAAGTATCATTACAATCAAATATTAAATATCTAGAAATCTTCTTAGAAAATATACTTAAATGTCTTCTGTAGCTGTAAGCTACAAATCACCCTAAGAACTGGTACTGACTACTGGACCTACAGTAGCATTGGGGAGAAAATAGAATGTCTAAACCCAGACAAAAGCTGCCACCCCAGGACAGCACAGATCCTGCACTGACCTCAATGAGAAAGTTGCTGAAACATCTTAGGACTAGAATAATCAATCTGAAAATTCTTTCATTATGAAAAAGTAGAAAAAACGTTAAGCAATTACCATAATAAGTCACTATAACCAATATTTTATGGCACCAAATAAATTATTTCTAGTATGAACCAGAAATACTTTTTTTGGATACGTATGTATACCTGACTCAAAAAAATCACAAGAGATCCTATTACATTAATGACATTCTTGCACATTCATCACACATCCACCCACGGAAACAATGCAGGAGGTGAATAGAGATATAGTACCACGGAGTATTGCTGGGTGGGTGAGACTGGCAGGAGCGGGGATGGGTAAGGGACTGTAGAGTACTGAACAGGCTGTGAAGAGGACTGCAGAGGACGAACAGGCTAAGGAATAACAGGTTGGCAAACAATGTTAATGTCAGAATAAAATGTTAGAAGAATTGCATAAAATGGAAATTTACACTTTTTGGCAATAGCTTTAACTACATTTATAAAGTCATTTAAAATACAACAACATAGAAAACAACAAAAACAATACAAAGTGAAGAAACTATAATATATTAAAACTTTCAAAAACATATGTACACCTTAGTTTATTACATAATTAGGAGGATAATGTTTTGCAATAAAAATATTTCTTTACTATAGATTAATGGGAACAGGTGATTTAGGCATTTTAAATCCTATTATTTAATCAAGACCTCTGGGTTAAGTCTGTAAAAGCAAAACTACTTCTCATTATTTCTTGGTTTTATGAAACGGCTGCCCTATTTAGTGGTATAACACTAAATTAAAAAAAAAACTTTATTCTTAGTATCAGACAGTAATAACTTACACAATAACTGTTCCAATTACCTTACTGATAAGGCATAATTAAGCAGTGTTTTGGGACCAAAGCCTTTAACTTTTAACAATTTTATAAGAAAAATTCACTGGATAAAAAAATATAGTGGGAACCATTAAAAATAAAAGCCTAAGGCACAACGCACATATACATACAGACATGCGTACACACACACACAAACACATCTCTTTAACATAAGGAAGACAAACACTTTCTTTGTAACTAAACACATTTCTATTAAGATAGTACATGTTAGGAGCTGAGAAACCAGTTACCTGAAATCTCTGGTCATTAATTAAACACTCTTGAGTTTCAGGAAAAAACACTTTTATGTTTCCCATGGGTACTCAAAAACAGGTGTTTTTTTTGTTTGTTTGTTTTTATTTTTGAAGTTGTAATCTCTTTTCAATTTTGGGAATACAGTTAGTCGGTCATCCACAAACTAAAACTGGCATCTGATTTAATTTTCTTACATATATATTTTTTATTACAAAAAAGGTAATATACATATTGGCTTAAAGACTATAACAATCCACTTTATAGATGGCAATCAGACTACGGTAAATTAAAAGACTTGTAGACAGCCACATAAACAAGTAGATGAGAAATGCAGGGAATCTTATTTGATAAAAACTCTTAGTTGAAATGTATATTCATGCATCTCCCTCTGAATAATATCTCTGAAAAGAATAAAAATGTTAAACTAATGGAATTAAGATTGTTCAGGGAATAATTTAAATAGAGAACTTCTATGTCAACTAAGATAGACATTGTTTGTCTATGACATCATAAATAGATAATGATTTGAGTTACACTTTTACCACAAAATCAACACAATGGTTTCTAAAAAGCAATGGCTTAGACTAGCTTAAAATAAAGCAAAATAAGCTGGGTGCAGTGGCTTATGCCTGTAATCCTAGCACTTTGGGAGGCCAAGGTGGGTGGATCACCTGCAAGACCAGCCTGGTCATCATGGTGAAACCCCATCTTTAAANAAAAAAAAAAAAAAAAGAAATATGTGAAAATAAAGCAAAATAATCTATAATAAAAGCAGTAAAAAAATCTTTCAGAAAAAGCTGAAAGATCGACAGCCTCTGGTCCCTCACAAAGCCCATGGCTACAAATAAGTGAGCTTCCCAATGAATTACAGCACATATTATACGACATGAGGTGTAATGGCTTTAGAACTTTCAAGAACAGGCTACTTGATGTGTTACTAAGTTAGATAACCATTAAGACATAATTTTCAGACGACTTGACCTCCTATGTCAGTGTCAGATGAAAAAAACCTTTTAGTCAGCTGGGTGATTAAAGAAAGTATTGTGAACACCAGTGGTATGAATTAATGTTTGAGTTTCAGAGAGTAATGAAAAAACTGTGAGCTAGAAGATTGACTGATCAAAGTAAAATTCTGACACCATTTAGAGAAAAAGCCTTAGCACTTCCTTTTCCTACTTGAAGTGCGATTGGCTTCAAAACAACATTCACCTAAAGTAACTGGTTTTATCTTATGTCCAAGAAAAGTAGCCCTTCTGAAGGCTTTGGAAATCACAGCATTATTTTGTTTGGTTATTTAAAATCTCATTGATAAATTATTTTAGATTATACAAAATATATTTATTGAGAATGATTTGTTCTTGAGTCTCTGTTTCTGGATCTGATGAGGAATTACCTGAAACACTTGGAGTAATGCTAGAAAAATGTTATGAAATTTGATGAATACCCCAAGAATTCAAATTATAGCTCATTAAAGCCTCTGTTTTTAAACTAGGTGGACTACATCTTCATTTAGAGCTATCTCTTATAACTAAATCAAAGTTCTAAGAGACAACAATCTGAAGTATATAATCACAGATAAATCCTAGATTTTTAAAAGTTGCCAGATTAACATTATTCCCACTGAAATTTAAATAAAAATGAAACCAAATGAAAATCAGTGCTTTAAAGCTTCTGGTGAAATACATGGTACTGCAAAGACAACTACATGACAGCATAATAAAGAGGAAACTCTTTGGGACCAAGACTAAAGCCACGACAGAGAAAGCCAGGGAAGTTTTATGTAAGCTTAGTGTATGTAAACAAATGGGTTTAGGAAGGGAATATGGGAGTCTGTGGAAATAGTTTTAGGCAATCCATTCTACATACATGAACTGATTTGTATTGTCTTAGAAGTTTATCTAAAACCTATAAGTTCTTCTTTTAAAAAAAACTGCCTTGCCTAGTATTAGGAGTCTTAATTGCCAGAAGTACAATTATTTTAATGACTTTCACAACATTAAATAATGTAATTAAATTCATGTTCTTCAAACCTGCAATATCATTTGTGAGCAAAATTAATAAAATTTCTCCAGTTCAAGTTTATCATGATCCCCGCCCCCCCCTTTTTTTTTTTAAAGGGACAGTCATTTAATTTTTTTTTTTTTTTGAGACAGAGTCTTGCTCTGTCACCCAGGCTGGAGTACAGTGGCCAGAACTCGGCTCACTGCAACTTCCAGGCTCAAGTGATTCTCCTGCCTCAGCCTCCCAAGTAGCTGGGACTACAGGCACACACCACCATGCCCGACTAATTTTTGTATTTTTACTAGAGGCAGGGGTTTCACCATTTTGGCCAGGCTGGCCTCGAACTCCTGACTTTATGATCTGCCCACCTCAGCCTCCAAAAGTGCTGGGATGACAGGTGTGAGCCACCCTGCCCAGCACATCACACTTCTTTCCTACAAAATTACTCTGCATGTTTTCACCAATGGAATATTTAGAGTCTTGCAGGGAAAAAGACGTCTAACTAACTACATAAACTTTGATATGTTAAATAACCTTTAAAAGTTAGGATAAAAATAAGAGTTCATACTGGTATAATCAAGTTCCCCCAAAATGGACAAAATACATCTTTAGGGGAAAAAGACTGCTTGTGAAAATGAATGTGTAAATTCTAAACATTTTTACAAACTCAAAATATTATTAAGAGTACTTTTGGGATTTCTAACTCAGAACTGCTTTATCTTTCATAGGGTAGGTAGAATGGATGAAGAGTACCTTGTAGAGCCTGAGCAGCCTCTCTCAGTTTCTTCTAACTGCTTAATCTGTGGAATCTTAAAACAACTCACTTTGCTCACTTGGCCAATGAATAATCTCAGTTTCATTTTTATTCCTCCTGTTGTCCATTTCTTGCTGTTGTGAAATAGGGATAATACTCACCAGATAGTCTCATAAGATTAAAACAATTTCCTTCTTTCCAATATATTTTCAGTATCTATCAGTAGAAAAGCCCTTGAAGTTATCTCTCTTTTCCTATGAGTAGTGAGTGGAGTATCACCGGTGGCAGAATATTAAAGTTCTAAGAGATACTTACTTGGGCTATTTCAATTATAATTAGTGCATTTAGTCCCAAATATGTAAAGGCATGTCAACTTAGCATTACATAATCGTGGATATGTGCACCTGTGAGAAAATGTGATTAGCTGCTGGTTGTTGAGGTGGGGGTGGCAGAGGTGGCTGTGGAGGTCCAGGCACTTGGGGTCTAACTGGTTGTTGAGTCATAGGAGGATTATACACAACTGGACTCCCATCTGGGTTTATGAAGGGCTGACCTGAAAAATTTAACAAGAAGGAAAAAAAAAAACTTAGAATACAGATAGAAAATAGGTGCTCCTACTAAAAATTTACAAAGCATGTCCAAAATCCCTTAACCACAATTACAAAAAATCTAATATTTTGAAAACCAAAAGATTTCCTTAGCTTGGGAAATAGCCTGATCCGACATGAGGCTATTAAAAGTCTTTATTTTTCTCACTTAGAGTTAATATTCAAATGTTTTACTGCATTTCTTATTATGAGGTGCTGCCCCAGACCACTAGTGAGCTTAATTTAATTAATCAATTAATTATTATTATTTTTTTAGATGGAATCTTGCTTTGTTGTCCAGGCTGGAGTACAGTGGCACAATCTCACTTCACTGCAACCTCTGCCTCCTGGGTTCAAACAATTGTCCCGTCTCAGCTTACTGAGTAGCTAAGATTATGGGCATGTGACACCACACCTGGCTAATTTTTGTATTTTTAGTAGATGGGGTTTCACCATGCTGGCCAGGCTGGTCTTGATTTCCTGATCTCAGGTGATCTGCCCAACTCGGCCTCCCAAAGTAATCCTAGCTTTATTTTATAATATGTAGTATTTTCTGAAAAACTGAATTATGAAACACATTTAGCCTAAGAAATTGTTACAGGATTGGGGTTCTATAAGGCTATATTTCAGTTCAAAGAGAAAATGTTTGACTTCAGGATACTGGAAAGTTATTCATTAGTTTTTATTAGGAGGTAGGAAATATTTAATTTTTAGGCCGCATTACATATATTTCACTAACAAAATTAGAACTGGATGAAAACTAAAATGATTAACAGCTTCATGCTTCATATTGTAAACTTGATGGTACTGTCCTTATTTTACCACCTCTTTTTGTTTTTTTGAGACAGTCTTGCTCTGTTGCCCAGGCTGGAGTGCAGTGGGGCAATCTCAGCTCACTGCAACCTCAGTCTCCCCTGGATTCAAACAATTCTCCTGCTTCAGCTTCCCAAGTGGCTGGCATTATAGGCACCTGCCACCATGCCCAGCTAATTTTTATATTTTTAGTAGAGATGGGGTTTTACCAGGTTGGTCAGGCTGTTCTCGAACTCATGACCTCATGTGATCCACTCGCCTTAGTCTCCTAAAGTGCTCAGATTATAGGTGTGAACCACTGTGCCTGGCTTCTCTACACATATACTCTAAACAACTTTTTCTTATTACAAAATATAACATTTTTAGTCTAAGAAAGTAACAGAGATAAAAAAGAAATTCCCCACAATCTTTGTATGTGTAATTTACCTTTTATTTTAAGTTCAGGGGTATATGGGCAGGTTTGTTATACAGGTAAACTTGTGTTATGGTAGTTTATTATACAAATTATTTTGTCACCCATAGTTATTTTTCCTGATTCTCTCCTTCTTCCCACCCTCCCCTCTCCGATAAGTCCCAGAATGTGTTGTTTCCTTCTATGTGTCCATGTGTTCTCAGCATTTAGCTACCACTTGTAAGTGAGAACATGTGGTATTTGGTTTTCTGTTCCTGCATTAGTTTGCTAAGAATAATGGCCTCTAGTTCCATCTGTGTTCCCGCAAAAGACATGATCTTGTTCTTTTTTATGGCTTCATAGTATTTTATGGTGTATATGTACCACATTTTCTTTTTCCAGTCTATCATTGATGGGCATTTAGGTTAATTCCATGTCTTTGCTATTGTGGAATTCCCCATAATCATATAAGTAACATTTTGGATACTGTCTTCCAGACATTTTTTCAAAACATAGATCAAAAGATTAGTATTTTTTTTCACTAAAATTGGATTGTTAAAAAAAAAATCAAGAAATGACTAGATGAAATTACCTGTTCAACAACTATGAGTGAGAAAATTACAGAGAAACAGAAAAATTTGACTGAAGAACAGTTTCTTAAATTGTTGTTAAAAACATCCATTCTTCCACAGTAAATCCCTCTCCATTTTTTTTTTTTTTCTAGGAAACTTATGATATAAAATAATAATATTTGGGACAGAAGACTATACTAGTCTATAGCTTTCAAGCAGAAAAAGTGCTCTAAAGTAAAATTATTTTCATCAATTAGCATACTGATAATTTTTGTGATAGTTATAGATAATTAAAAACAAGTTGTGCAGGGTATTTGTTGACTTAAATAATTTGGAAAAATAAAACTGGTGGAGCAGATTTGGGTGAAAGTGGTCAGAAGTAATCTAAGGGTCACCTGAAAAAAGTTAAATGTATAGTAATACTGTTGTCAAAAACCAAAGAGATCACTTTTGGATTCATCTAAATTAATGGCACAATTCAATTTCAGGCCGATCAGTTTCTCACTCTATCCCTTCCTAAGCAACTGAATCTTTCATGTTACCAAAACCGTATTAATATGTTTTGAATGAAGAATAGGAAACGGTAAAATATTAAATCATCTTATATCTTGCTTCACAAAAACAGGAAGGTTAGTAACTAATACCCTGAAGAATAAGAAGGTAATTATTATTTTTTTGTTTTTTTATTTTTTATTTTTTTTTGTTTTACTTAAGAAGGTAATTATTAAGCAAAAAGTGAATTTCTGAAAAACAGTTATTTATGCTAATTTAATTCTTATAAGAGAAACAAACGTTTGCATACTTTATCTTAAAAAGAGATGTGAACAAAACCTGAAAGTATCGAGTCCCAAGCCATGATTTTCTCTACTGCACACAAAAGGAAAGGTCCAGGAACACTTAGAGACCTGATACTTCCACCTGTATTGGCCTGTAAACTACTGCCATTATGATGAGACTACATCAGCTAAATCCATGAGGTTTAAAGTTAACAAAAGATCAAGGAGCATTTTTATTACCTTGCCAAATGACTGGGTTATGTTATCTTGAAGAGACCAAGACTTATTGTGATATTTTAAAAGATCATATTTTTTTCTATATAAATAATTTTTACCAATTTACATAGTGAAATGTACTACAACTGCAGTTTTTCACCTCTCTGAGGTTCAGTTTCCTTATTTGTAAATGAGGATTTCACCTGCCTATCAAGGTTATTGTAACATATTTAAAGCACCTAACAGAGCATATGGTACAAGTAAATGCTCCAAAAACATAAATTACTGTTAGCTAATTGCAAAGGATATGTATTGTCAATATTAATATAGAATGACTGGTCCCAAGTTTTTTTTTTAAAAACCACTAAGATGTCCTTTAGCTTTTCCTCAGTAGAAAACAATCACCACATTCTGAAGGGCAATTCTTTTTTTTTTCCTATTCCATTGTATTGTGAAAAAGAGCTGCTTATTTGGTCCTTCTTCATAAAATGCACCAATTTTCCCAAGTATAAAATTATTATATCATCCCAAGAAATCACCGGTGGTTAAAATAACTGTTATATCAAACAAAGCTCTTTCATAGGTAGTTGTCTCATTTCTAGGAAATAAATTTTTTAAAATTATAATCAGGCTATTATTCTGGCCTAGAAGATATCACAAGGGGACAAATGCTTTCCAATGTAAATGTCTTTTAAACTTTCCTAGCAGAAGTGTTTTTGTTAAAGTTCTTGGAAAATGCTAAGTATTCATGAATAATAAAAAGCTGACTACACATATTCAGAAAATACATTTAATAAGTATCCTTAAATTTTCAGATAATTCCTGAAACACCTTTTTCTGGATACCAACCTGTTTGTGGGTTGATCAGAATACTGCCAGGTGGTATGCCTGCGGCTTCCAAGGGAAGCAAAAAGAAGCTAGTGCTAGGAGATGCGACTTGCCCATTTAGGCCACCATCAAAGGAAAGAGAACTATGAGTGCTGACAGTTGGATAGACGACAGGTGCGCCATGAGAAGACTGGCTGAGAGCTGTACCTGGAAGAGGCTGCTGGATGTGAGAAAGAGAGCCTGTAGATGACCCTACACTACCAGAAGACTCAGAACCTAGAAGAGGAGTAATGAAAAATATGGATTTTTTAAACCTCATATAAAAACACAGGTTTTAAAGACATAATAAAATTTACATTGCATAACATGCAGTTACTACATAAAAGCACTGGCTATTTTTAATTTGCTGTTCACATTTGCTTACCCTCCCTATAAGGAACAAGTTTAATACAGCAAACTGATTACTTAAGTTGTCAGAGAAATCACTGCAAAAAGCATGCAACTTAAGCACGTTTATAACACCACCAGCCACAGACAGCCACAAAAAGCACATTACCCACATTCCCAAAAGGACAAAGTTATGTACATTTTACCTGTTAGATTAATACCTAGAAATATATTGATTATAATTTTTCCCTAGGAAAAAGAATTTAGTACAGCAAAATACCCAAAACCTTTAATATCAGAAATGCCTTATCTATAAGAACACAGAAAGATTTAGTGTAAGAAATAACAGAAATAATAAATTCTGTATTAAGAGAAACAATTGTCCAGTTTAATTGTGGAATCTCATTTCTCAGTTTACTATCAAAGCATCTTCCCGAAATGTAAAATTGACTTTGAGTATTTTATCTAATCAAGTGACAGAGATACCGTGAATTACTGGATTCAGCTTAAAATTTATTTCTTACTGAACTTAATATACTAATTTGATAACTGATTTTTAACTGCTTTCATCCCTGCAATTTATTCCATTTTCTATCACAGAGGAACTGAAAGTGTAATTGATTTTTAGCATAATGGATAAAAAAGGTGGACAATGAGGGATCTTATGTATATAGTAATTAGGTTTTGAATAAGAGAATTGACTCTGGGATAGAGAATTAATTTTTAATGAGTGAAACAACTATCATATACTATACAGACTGCCTTCTAAAGGACAGCTTCTATTTTAAGTTGTACCAAAATAACTCTTCCAAAGAACTATCAATTTACCTTAGGAATTAAAAACAAAACATTTTTTTACCTTTTAAAAGGGTCAATTAGTATTTCTTTTCATCTTTGAAGAGAATATACAATACATATAGTACACATTCTTAAAATGTTTTGATTTGGCAGTGTGTCTACATAATTTTCTCATGATACAGTTTTTTCTGTTATGATTACTAAGTGGCCATTTCCCAAATAATGCATATTTGGTACATAAGCAGATTTCTTATACTGATAAAATTTTTTTAGCAATATCCTAACATAGATACTATGATATTTTCAATATGACCACATTGTACATTAAAAAGATGGCAACTGCAGGCCAGGCTCGGTGGCTCACGCCTGTAATCCTAGCACTTTGGGAGGCCAAGGCAGACGGATCATGAGGTCAGGAGCTGAAGGCCAGCCTGGCCAACGCAGTGAAACTAAAAATACAAAAAACTAGCTGGGCATGGTGGCAGACACCTGTAATCCCAGCTACTTGGGAGGCTGAAGCAAGATAATCACTTGAACTGGGAAGTGGAGGTTACATTGAGCAGAGATTGTGCCACTGTATTCCAGCCTGGGCGGCAGTGAGAGAATCCATCTCCAAAAAAAAGAAAAATAAGATGGCAACTGCAATTCATAAGCTTTAATAATTTAAAGCATTGATTACAGCTTTTCAATTCAAATATGCCCATCCATTCTTAGGTTTATAATACCTTATGTTTAGGCTTACCCAAACAGGTTAGAGAGAAATAGTCACTTTTCTTTTTCTTTTTTTCTTTTTTTTGAGATGGAGTCTCGCTCTGTTGCCCAGGCTGGAGTACAGGTACGATCTTGGCTCACTGTAGCCTCTGCCTCCCGGCGTGAAGCAATTTTCTTGCCTCAGCCTCCCAAGTAGCTGGGACTACAGGCATGCGCCACCATGTCCTGCTGATTTTTTAATATTTTAAGTAGAAGTGGGGTTTTGTCATGTTGGACAGGATGGTCTTGAACTCCTGACCTCAGGTGATCTGCCCGCCTTGGGATCCCAAAGTGCTGGGATTACAGGCATGAGCCACAGTGCCAGGCCAGAGAAACAGCCATTTCTGACTTTCATGCTAATTTTGGGATAAAAATAAAGATCTACAAGGGTCCTATAAACACATGAGCTTCTTTAGTATTGAAGCCAGTTAGTGAAAATGAAAAGAGGAAATGTTATGAGCCATTGTACCCTAAGGAAGCAGGCAGAAGAATAAGATTATTGAACTTTCCAGTCACTTGTAATAGTTATTTATCTTGGATTTTTAAATTCCTCAAAATCTCCTCAGCAATTCAATTCTTTTTTTAAATGGGAAATGAAGAACTTTATCATAAAAAATGCAACCAATAATTGATATTATTAGCTGAAAAAGCAATCAGTGTTAAATAATCCTAGGTGAGAAACCATGCCTTCCACCAACTTCTAACTACAAATGAGTAATAAACAATTTCTAATGAACTATGGGCATTCAAACAAGAGATGACATTTCATCGAACCTACCTGACTATAAGTTTACATCACAATAGAGAATAATTTTTATGTTAATTGATGTTTGTAAATCTGTCTCCAGGACAGAGAGTAAATCCTCATGTCATGAAACATATTACCCCTTAAGTACTTTGGAGGTGGTCAAGGTACTATTGGTAGTGATTTTATATTTTAGGATAATTAGAAGCCATATGATAAATAAGGAGCTAAGACAACATTAGGAAAACTAATGACTCGATTTCACAGTTCTATGTAGATATTTATACCTGTTTTTGAAAGCCTGCCTATGCTTTTGCTGCTTCCAGAACTATCACCTCTTGTCAGGACTGAGATTCCACTGAAGCTGCTGGCTTTGGTTACAGCGGGTTTCAGGTTTCGAAGAGAGCTGTCTGAATCTGTGCTGCTCCAGGGTCGTGGTTCTGAGTACTTCAACTCATTCTCCGTGCTGCTTTGATGGCTATTTGTAGATCTCCCTGAAGCATCTTTATTAACTCTGTAATTTAGAAATAAAACTTTGAAAAGCTAATGCAAGGGAAAAAAAAGAATAAAAAAATGCTTTATGCCAGCTGGCCTCACAACAGGCATAATTTTTCAATACTGTATTAAAAACAAGCTTCCAATACCTAAATATCTGGCGCCTCTGCTGGGTACTACTGGCATCCTCATCTTGGAGTCTGTTGGTGTTTTAATAAGACATTTTAATTTTTATTAGCATCAGTCAGACAATTACCAAAACAGATGTTAAAAATTCCCTCACCTTTTGTCAATAATATAATTCTCTTGGGAACACAGGGACTAGAAAGAAAGAATAGATACAACAAGTTGAGCTTTTGTCAAATATATAATGCCATCTATAAACCAATGATGACAATAAAAATCATGAGTAGTAATGTAAGTTCAAAATGGTGATAAGGGTACACAAATAAATAATAATGGATTCTCTATTTTTCTGGTTTGGAGATCCTATGCTTACTTTTAACAAATATATATATATCCTAAAGCTATTCATTTGGTGGTTCAAATTAATTTGAAATTCAAATATTATCTTCCAAATAAGTGAACCCATTTTCATTATATATTCAAGGTATATATAGAATATGTATTCCACCTCATTCACTTAACAAATATTTGATCACCTGTGGTTTATCTGTAGCTAGAGCAGTGAACAAGTAGTTATACTTTAATGGTGCAAGTCTTTCAGCACTGTAAACCTGGGTTAGGAATGACCATTTTTGTTTGTATGATTACAACAGTCTTCTAACTAGTTTTCCAGCTACCTTTTTTTCCCCTATTTTACATAACAGGAGCAATCTCTCCAAATACCAATCTGATCATAACTCTTCTCACCTGAATGGCTCCCTGATGTTTTAGCACAAGTATCAGCAAACTATAGCCAGACACCTGTTTCTGCAAATAAGGAACACAGTCATGACCATTCATTTATGTATTGTCTGTGGCTGCTTTCACACTTGAGTAGAAAAAAAATTCAGATTTGAGTAGTTGCAATGAAGACTCTGTGGCTCAAAATGCCTAAAAGAGCTATCATCTGACCTTTACAAAGAAAGTCTGCTGACCAAAAAAGAAAAAAGCCAAAAGCAAAACAAACCAACCAGCCCCCAAAAATGAAAAAACAACACCCAAAACCCTAGAAGTCCAACCACCTTAAACCTTCAGGGCCAAATAATCTCATTTCTGAATATTTTTCCAATCTAAACTTTCCTCACTTCCTGTATCACTCAGGCCAGAATGTGGCTACTCTGAATCTTTTTGTTGAGACAGGATCTCACTCTGTCACCCAGGTTGGAGTGCAGCAATGCCATCTTGGGTCACTGCAACCTCTACTTCTTGGGTACAGGAGATCCTCCTGTCTCAGTCTCCCAAGTAGTTGGAACTACAGATGTATACCACCATACCTGACTAATTTTTTGTAGTGATGGGGTTTTGCCATGTCGCTCAGGCTGTTCTTCAACTCCTGAGCTCAAGTATGCTCAGAGTGGTCTTGAACTCCTGAGCTTAAGTGATCCACCCACCTCGGCCTCCCACAGTGGTGAAATTACAGGTGTGAGCCACTGCACCTGGCCTGCTCTTAAATCTTTCCATTCCTAACGTGTGTCAAGTTCTACCTTACCTCTGGGCCACTATAAATACTGACGCTCTACTTGAAATTCTTCACTTCTGTAAGGTTTCTTCTTGGAAGCTAACTCTCCCATCCCTTCCCCAGTTCTGGTTTGTGGTGCTTATCTGGTGTGTCACCTATTATATCTTCATGTCTTTATATAAACCACACACCATGTTGTCACTGCTTGACGATTTATCAAGGGTAGAGACCTCATCTACCTTATAAACTAGAGACGATATTTAATATAGGCTTGGAGTTCAGCAGACCTGGTTGAAATGCCAACTCTACCATTTTCTAGCTGTGTGATCTCTATTCTACTTAGCCTCCTGGAATCTCAGATTCCTTATCTGTAAAGTAAAAATGATGATAGCCCTAATCTACCATATAGGGTTGTTTTGGGGATAAATTATTATAACTGTCCATGAATATGTTCTACAGTGCCTAGGACAGCACTTATTACAGGTGCTCAATAAAATTTGTTGAATGAATGTTATAAGTTCTTAACCTACAGTCTGGATTTTAATGTTATTTAATCTTTTTTTAAACACAGAGGGAAATTCTATCTTTAGCAGATTAACATACATTACAGGAAAGATGCTTAACAGCTGTTGACAAAAAACAAATTGATTCTCTTCTGGCATACATGCATAAAACAATTAGCAATTTAGAAGGCCTATCTAGTATAATCACTTAAAAAGTAGAAAACAAATATTAACCTAAAAAAACCAATTAGCTTTATTTCAAAAGAAGAAATAAGTTGTTTGTCAAAGAAAGTCTACTAACAAGTAGGCTCCAGGGTATATAATTTTGTAGACAGTAGACCAATACTCTATTAATAAAAATCTCAAGTCTGTCAGAAGTCAGACTGGGGGAAAAAAAAAATCACACAAACTATATACGGTGGCCAATATTCTTTGAATGACTCCTGTAGTCCACCTGCTTCCAACTTCTGTAAAATTTTACATAACTACTGCAATGTAGTATTTATAAACTATTAAATTAATAACACAAGCAAAACTGATCTCAATATTTCTAAAAGACGACCTTATAAGCAACAAATGTGATTAAAAATAAATGTGATCAATAGATGAAAGGGAGACTAAGACCCTACAATGCAATTAGAATATATTCTAATATGAAGATCTAAATATGTTAGTACATACGTCTTGGGAAAATATTCGGTCTCTAGCTCTCTGGTATTCTTCTTCTCTTTCTTCTATAGATTTGCTTCTTCTGTCATCTTTCAAACGTATTCTCATCTACAGAAAAGAGGATACTTTTTAGCAAAATGAACTACTGGTATATAATATGTCTTGCACCTATAAAAATTCTACAATTGTTGAAGATTACCTGATTATCATCTTTGTCAAAGCTAGAGTTATCTCTCTTGAGGATATAACGTTTTTGAAAGTCTTCACTTTTATCATCCTTAATATGTTCATTAAATTTCTGATCAGGTCTTAAAAAAAAAAAGCAAAACAAAGGAACAAGAAAAGATAATGTATAATATCAGCAAAGAAGTTAAACATAACATTTTATAGAAGCAATAAAAGTTACTGCTTTTTAGTGCCATTCATAGATACTTATGCAATCTCATTTAGTCCACACAATAATCTCACAAGAAAAAACACTATTCCATGTATGGTTGAGAGGCCATATCAAATACAATGTGGGCTCTGGAGTCAGAGTGCTTGGATTCAAAGATTGAGCTTTAGCACTTTAGCTGCTTTATGACTTGCACAAGTTACTTAACCTTTCTCTTTCCCAGTTTGTTTGTAAAATGGGTATAGTGTAGGTATAGTGTACCTATTTCTTAGGGTTGTTCTGAAGATGAAATGAGCATGTCAATAGCACATAAAACAGTAAACACTCAGAAGTTAGTTACTGTTATAAATACTATTGAGCAAACTGAGGTTCAAATGGCTTAAGCAACTGTGCAAGGTCAGAGGCAAGCATATGATTAAGCCATACTTGGAGCTTGGGTCAGTTAGACCCAAAGCCTGTATTGCCTCATCTAAATCTAAGAAAAAATGCTGGGACAAGGAAAGTACAGGATTGTATCTTATGCCACTCCTATGGTACCTAGTTTGGTGTTATACAACTGAAAGCAATAAAATATTCTGTCATTCAATTAGCTAAAAACTTAGAGACTACTTCAAAGTGCGTCCATGAATTTTAAGTTATAGCAGGGCACAGCTTTGTTTAACATTGACTGTAACAGATTAGAAAAGAGAGGTGCTTTTATAGAGGTTAAAGTTGTGACCTAAGTAATGATTATGAAATCTTGGCAATATATTTTATAGTGGATTCATCCTTCTTCTACAGAAATATTGCAAGTTCCACTGTGACCTAGAGGACAAACAAAAGATTGTAGCCCTTGGAAAAATCACAATTACATAAAATTTCAGCTTCACAAATTAATTCAATCAATACTCTTGTCACTAAATATCATTCTATTATAAAAGTGGAATTATTCTTTTGAAATATAAAATATAAAAATATATTCAATGGCTCTAGAGAAAAATCTCATTGAACCCCTAGTTTTAATATACAGTTCAAGTATCTATTATATAGTCATATGATATATGTGAATAACCTAAGTAAATTTCAAATCCAAATATATCTGAGTAATGACATTTTCAGCAAACTTCCTTATTTATAGAGCCTACATGGACTTCTTTTTTTTTTTAATTTTTTATTTTTTTGAGACAGAGGCTTGCTCTGTCACCCAGGCTGGAGTGCTGTGGTGCGATCTTGGCTCACTGCAACCTCTGCCTCCTGGGTTCAAGCAGATTCTCCTATCACAGCCTCCTGAGTAAGTAGAATTACAGGCGGCTACCACCATGCCCAGCTAATTTTTTTTTTTTTTGTATTTTAGTAGAGATGGGGTTTCACCATGTTGGCTAGGCTGGTCTCGCACTCCTGATCTCAAGTGATCCACCCGTCCCAGTCTTCCAAAGTGTTATGATTATAGGCGTGAGCCACCACACCCGGCCCTAGAACTGAAGTGACACTTCTGAACGCTTATTTTAATCTATGAATTTCTAATAAGGTATGTAAAAGCCTCCTGTCAAATTATGCAAAAGGAGATTAAAAGAATTATCTAAGCAAGTTAATAAAATCGCTATTGTAAAATACTTAGATGGGTAAAACAGAGAACAGATTTGTACAAAAAAATATATATATAAGAAGAAGAAAAACAAGAAGAGGAAAAACAGCTTTGTGACCAAAATAATAAGAAAAAGACTGTTTTCTTCAAGGTTTTGAAAGATTTTTATTTAGTTCTGACAATGGCAGTATGTTATTTTTGTCACATGATTACCTCATTTACTCATGTCATCTATGTTTGTAACTGTTCAAAGTCACATTTGCTTATTCAAGGGGTTTATATTTGAATGAGAGGTTGCTATTTCAAAGTGAACTAGAAGATTTAACCAAGGGCCTGGCAACTTTTCTAAGGGCAGCTGGATTCCCACACCAATAGCACTGGCAGGCATTTCAGCTAACCTTAAGACTGTCTTACCTCATTCTTTAATAGATGCCTGAATTTACTGCCCTGTAATCGCCAACTTCCCGCTCCATTGAGACACCCCAGTGGACACTGGGTTGTTGACATCCGCACCACTGATTCAAGGCTGGAGCGGGTAATCTCCCTATGAGGAAAAGGTAAGTTTGTTTTTATTCAATGTGGAGCAGATCTCTAAGGTTTTCTGATTTACAACCTTCTTTATATCCCAGAAGATATAAAATAAGAATACAGTGTAACTTCAATGATCTGAAACGTCTGGTTATAATTATGTTATTGAGCCTTACTTTTTTTTATCTTCAGAAAGAGAACCCTAAAGCTTTCTGGTATCATTCATAGAATTCAAATAACTGAGGTTACACTGTATTGAAAACCTTAGAGAGTCATCAGTCAAAATGTTAGTCAAAATGCCTGCTAATGTATATGTGCTTGGGTATCCAGCAGCTCTGAGTAATGTTGAGAGGTACTGGTTAAATGCATTATAGTTCTATTCACCTCTAGCTCAGCTCATAGCTTAATGGTTACTATCCTGCTGTAGTCTTGATATAACTGATTGGAAAAAGACTAATTGAAAAGAATATTTTAAAAAGACTAAGGGATATGAAAATTTAAATTTTAATGAAAATTAAATCAGACTCACATTTTGGTAACATTTAATCCCTATAGAAAGAAAAGATCCCTGTCTAAACCCATCTATTTTCACTATATTGCATTAACCAACAGTCCCACTTTCTTAAGAACTGTGAGAGAAAAGGAGTAAATCTGGAGGCTTTTGGAAAGAATGGTAAACTGGCAGAAGATTAAATGTGAGGGTGTATAGGAACAATCATTTAAAAATACTAAATATATCTACTTAGTTGATAAAGACTATTTAAAATGGAAGAAAACCAATAGTTCCAGCAAGTGACATGGCAGCTATAAGGATAAAAGGCCATAAATCAGAAAAGGCATAGATGAATTAAATATAATCATGCAAATCAAATCACTCATAGATAAGAACCTGGGAGAAATCTGGCTACTGGAAACACAGAAAACTAATGAATCAAAAAGGATTATTTATGCCATCTGAAGTTGACTGTTATTCATTACCACAGACTTGTTGCTGCCTCATATGAAACTGAAATTCCTTTTGATAGGCAAATTACCACCAAAATATAAATTTTAGCTGAACTCCGATAGTTGCTTTAGGATTAGCCTTATAAATAGGCAGAAGATGTAATGGACGAGCTGTGTATGTTTTATAACTTGGGTGCCTCTGCATTGGGTCTTCTGCTCCCAAATAACAGCAATGATGATTTACTTCAGCAACACTATAAAGCAATTAATTCTTAAAACGAAAGCTCCTCCTAACTCTTTAAAATTTTTCCTCAGTGAATCATACATAGCCCAGGAAGAAGACAGCACTATGGATGATATTGCATTAACCAACAGTCCCACTTTCTTAAGAATTGTGAGAGAAAAGGAGTAAATCTGGAGGCTTTTGGAAAGAATGGTAAACTGGCAGAAGATTAAATGTGAGGGTGTTAAGGACAGAGTCTGCTCTCTCTCTCTCTTTTTTTTTTTTCCAAATTTGACTAAGGTAGCTATCTAAATTAATTTAAAAAATTCCTAAGAGTAGTTGTCAGACATCACTGATATCATGTCCTCTGGGTTTTCATTTATTACCACATGCCCCATTCCTCATTCATAGACCTTATTTGATGTGTTTTGTTCCCAGTAAACTAAATGTGTTTTACAATCCTATCACAAGGTTATCATGAAACCTGATTAGACTGCTCTAACATGTGGAAAACCTCAGATGTAAGGTACTATAGAAAGATAAAGTATTATTGTTTAGATATATAATATGTAGTTACATCTCTTGACACTTACATTCTTGTATTGCTAGTTTTGTTTACTATGACAGACTTCCCACTCTGATCAACATTGTGGTCTAATCCAAAGTAAGCGGCTACTCTGTGTAATAGCATCCTATGGTAAGATGTCATTGGGGGGAATTTTTTACGTGGAGACCTAGAAGCACAAGAAAAACCAATTTAGTAAGTCAAGGAGAATGGTGATGACAATTTCTTTTCTTGTTAAATGTCAGGACTTACTCATTATTACCAATGAAATCTAAAATTTCCTGTTCCAATTTCAACAGCATCATTCTGTCCCTGAAACAAAATATGAAGACTCTTATATGTAAAACTTAGCAATGAAGTAATCACAAACATCAACAGGCTATGATCTATACAGCTAAATTTTACCCCTTAAAAACTATACATTCATGACTATCCCAATCTTGATGCTAGAATATTTATTAATGTTTTAAAACAGTAATGTTTTAAAACAATAAAAGATGATTTTTTTAGTTTAACTTTTTATTATGTAAGCGTTCACACATAAACTAATGTAGAGAATAGTGTAATGAATTTTGATGTACCCATCACCCAACTTTAACAATCATCAACATGTGACTATTCTTAAATTCATTTTTTTTGTTTATAAATAATGAAGGAACTTAAATGTATTTTGATCTACTAGGTATTACTATATTAGAGTTTGCTCTGTGAACGTATGGATAATAAGAGCATTTTAGTTTTAATTTTCTCATTTAATAAAATGGAGAGCAAACAGAAAAACAGACATCTTTAGTTAGGCTCATGGCTGTTATCATACTGAACACCATAGAAACAGTACTCGAAAGAACATGCAATGCCAGTAACAACAGGAATACTCCTATGGAAATCCAATAGGAGTATGTAGATGGGACTACAGCAAAGAAGTATTAATTATATCACTAACTCAGAAGAGGACATTTCAATCCATTCTATAAATTGCTATTACATATTTTAAAATTTTCCCATAAAAATGTAAGTGAACCAAACACCTCCAACATATAAAATAAATAAGAACTCTAGGGAGTACCTGTATGTGCTCCTTTAGATCACTAGAGTCTTATTTAGTGCACTTAGGCTGCAGCAAATTAATGGTATCACTACCCAATGGACCTTCTTGCCCACACACCAAGAACATGGATCCAGATTTTTCCTGTGCTAATTGGAAATTTCACGTACATGTGAAAAAAAAAAAAAGTAACTTACAGAACCTTAAAGCTAGAAGCAGCTTTACAAATCATTCAGTTTTGTCTTCCAAAATTTATAGATCAAGAAAATGAGGCCGAGAGATTAATGATTCCCTAAAATAGACACTATGCAGATTACTCAATTTTAACAGAGGAATTGGTAGCCCCTGATTTGGTTACCTTAAAGTCTACACAACAGACCTGTGTTTGATTCTCCTATATTGCAAAAGTTTCACAAAACTAAGTAATAACTTCCCCCTGCATCATTAAAATATTTAACTATACATTTTTATATTAGTTTAACAAAATCAAAAGAAAAACATGTCTATCTGGTGATTTTAAATCCCAAGCTGAACACATAACTACATTTTTACAAAAATTATAGCAATATTCAGTTTTGTCTCCAAACCTGCTTTTCCTTTAGTATTTCCCATTTCAGTAAGTGGTACCATCTTCTACTCAGTATGATACTAGAAGCATGAGAAGTTTTTTGATTATTTTTTTTGAGACAGAGTTTCTCTCTTGTTGCCCAGGCTGTAGTACAGTGGCATGATCTCGGCTCACCACAATCTCTGCCTCCCGGGTTCAAGCGATTCTCCTGCCTCAGCCTCCCCAGTAGCTAGAATTACAGGCAGCCGCCACCATGCCTGGCTAATTTTCTATTTTTAGTAGACACAGGGTTTCTCCATGTTGGTCAGGCTGCTCTGGAAGGTTTTTTTTTTTTAATCATCCTTTTCCAAATCCTCCTGTACAGTTATTTACTACTGCAAATTTTATCTACCTTTGATTTATTTTTCCACTGCCACAATCCTGGATCCAAGTAATCAGGACTTTTGGCTTGAATACTGTAGCAGGAGTTTACTGTCTCCCTGTATCTTCTCTGATCTTTTCTAATCCATTCTACATTAAACATGCATAACAATCTTTTAAGAACACATATGTGATCACGAATCACTCCCTTGGTTAAATCTATCACAGGTTTCTCACTGCTCTTAGAACTACACATATGTACAAGGCAGGCATGAACTGGTCTTTATCCAGCTCCGCCTCTTCTCCTGACCTGAACTCACGAAACTGTTATCATCCTGGTTTATTTCTATATTTGCCAAGCTCCTATCAGGTACCTTGAACATGATGTTGTTCCCCCTTTGGTGAAACACATTCTCATATTCTTTCTTGGAATCATTTCTTTCATATTTTAACAGCATTTATCACAATTACTGTCATATAGTGCTTTGGACTATTTGTATATAAAAGGGTTCAACAAATATATTTTGTATGAAATAAGATAGTATCCAGAAGGGCTTTTTAGCATTCTGTTTTTTTTAATTTGGGGGGAGGGTAAAGAATTTTTACTTCCTAAAGTTTTCCCAAAAAAAAGGATTTATTTACTAAACTATAAGATCCTCTTTCATCCAAGTTTTATTTTCTTTCTGAGACAGTCTCACTGTTGCCTAGGCTGGAGTGCAGTGGTGCTATCTTAGCTTACTGCAACTTCCACCACCTGGGCTCAAGTGATTCTCCTGTCTCACCCTCCAGAGTAGCTGGGGTTATAGGTGCGCACCATCATGCCCAGATAAATTTTATATTTTTAGTAGAGATGTAGTTTCACCATGTTGCCCAGGCTGGTCTTGAACTCCTGATCTCAAGTGATCTGCCCACCTTCGCCTCTTAAAGTGCTAGGATTACAGGCGTGAGCCACGGTGCACAGCCTCATCCAAGCTTTTGGGGTTAATTTATCTTGAGACAGTATTTTTAGTAACTTTTATATTTACATATTGCCTTATTGTAAAAAAATAAAGACGAGAATCAAAAGCAGGCAACTAGCCGGGCGCAGTGACTCATGCCTGTAATCCCAGCACTTTGAGAGGCAAAGACAGGTGGATCATCTGAGGTCGGGAGCTCGCGACCAGCCTGACTGACATGGAGAAATACCCGTCTCTACTAAAAATACAAAATTAGCCGGGCGTGGTGATGCATGCCCGTAATCCCAGCTACTCAGGAGGCTGAGGCAAGAGAACCGCTTGAACCTGAGCGGCAAGGTTGTGGTGAGCCGAGATTACACCATTGCACTCCAGCCTGGACAACAAGAGCAAAACTCCGACTCATAAAAACAATAAAAAGCAGGCAACTTATTTGGAGTTCATAAAACAGTACATTTATACTGATTTTCCGTGTTTGAGCTAAACAGCAGGTATAAGATATTTTAACTGTTCTTCAGTGAATGTACTGCCACTGAAATTTCCACTATCTCCATGAAATAACATAAAATCTAACAATTTTACTAGCCATTGATACAAAGTTAAGCTTTCTCTCCCTTAATATGCAGATCTATAGATTGCAGAGGATTTTTAGATTATCTGGGCCACTTATTTTCTAAAAGATACATTGCTTTTAGTAGCACTTGCTAAAAAAAAAGACAACTTTCCTGAGGTCTTAAGATTTGCACCTTCTGCCTTTTATCTCATACTGTAGCTTATACAGGCTTTCAAATTTTCAAATCTGGAATTAAGGTTAGATACTTTTATAATAGTGATAAGTTAAAGGTTACTAATCCTTTATAGGGGCCCTACATATTAGACTCAAACTAAGAGGTTTACAAATTACTTTCTTAAAGCATATTGATATTTAGTAGGTGAGCCAAAACCATCCAAAAGTAGGCACAAAGTAAAACTTCTATCATACAACCTTTAAAATGAACTGATACATGCTGTTTATTATTAAAGAATAAAAAAAGGTAATTAATAAACAACTACTAAAAGCTAAAATGAAGGGCTAACAATCTTTCAGTTACTAGTGTTCTAGTCATTATTCCAGAAGTAATTTTGGAGAAAGAGGTAACAGCTGTTATACCAGTGGCAAATTTTAAAAAGCAGAAAACAGTAATGCTTCTGTTTGACCACCTTCTACCCAATGTTTCATATGACCTTGGTCAAATCTCTGTAACAGATAAGAAATAAAATGACTTAAACAATACCTCCAATAAAAACAACTTTTAGAAGATGTTACAAACAGCAAACAAATACATGATGTTCCCTAGAGCAAAACAAAATACTTAAAAAAAATCCATTGTCAGAATTAACCCATGGTACTGTTATCCTGTTAGTTACATAATACAGTTATCTGTACCATCCATATCTCTACATATAAATTTATACAATATGGCTAAAAGCAACACAAAAATAGGTATAAAATTATGTTAGTGAGTGAAATCTTTATTAACAACTCCTTCAGGTTCCTAGGTTCTAATTCATTAATGACTGTATTTAATAGGATAGCCTCTGAAAATATTGCAGACACCCAGAAATTGCAGCTAACTTATTAACACCTGAAATTTAGTTTATTTATTGGGCTATGAACAAGATAATGAAGATTTAATGATATGAAAAAAAATTGTTAAATAAAAGTGATCCAAAATGGAAAGGTTGACTAAATTTTCGTATCATTAAAAATAAATCTGCTTAACATCTAGTAGAATTCTCCAGGCAATATTCAACCCCAAAAGCTCAGTGAGAATTTGCTTTACTTCTAACTAATTGTGTACCAGGTATATCTGGAAATTAGTTGCATGCTTCACTGAGAGAGAATACCGAGTCATTTATTCAGCAAACCTTATTTCTCACAAAATTTAACATTAGCTTCAACTTCCTAAACCCACAATGACATTAATAGTAACTTACACATTAGCTATTACATGCATTATTTACTTGTATATATATATATTTTTTAAATTGAGATGTAATCTGGCTCTTGTTGCCCAGGCCAAGTGCAATGGTGTGATTTTGGCTCACAGCAACCTCCACCTCCCAGGTTCAAGTGATTCTCCTGCCTCAGCCTCCTGAGTAGCTGGAAATACAGGCATGCACCACCACACCCGGCCAATTTTTGTATTTTTAATAGAGATGGGGTTTCTCCACGTTGGTCAGGTTGGTCTCGAACTCTCAACCTCAGGTGATCCGTCTGCCTTGGCTTACCAAAGTGCTGGGATTACAGGTGTGAGCCACCACGCCCAGCCTCACGTGTATATTTGCTCAAATAAAAATGCATACACAGAAGGAATAAAAAGCCTATACATGCTAAAATACAGATGAATCTTAAAAACATTATGCTAAGTGAATAAATGTTAAGTCATGAATGATGACATATTATATAATTTCATTCATATGAGATGTCCAGAACAGGGAAATCTACAGAAACAGAAAATATATTAGGGTTGGGATCATCTCTTATCAGTTTTACTATTATTACCATAGCATAGGAATAGCTACAATGCATGGGGTTTCTTTTGGGGGCAATGACTAAGTTCTAAAACTGTGGTGATAGTGCTTCTATCTGTATACTGAATATACTAAAAACCATTAAACTGTACAGCTAAAAAATGTCAATGTGGATAACTTAAAAATGTTTGCATCAGCCGGGCACAGTGGCTCACGCCTGTAATCCCAACACTTTGGGAGGCTGAGGTGGGCAGAACACCTGAGGTCGGGAGTTCAAGACCAGCCTGACCAACATGGAGACATCCCCATCTGTACTAAAAATACAAAATTAGTTTAGTGTGGTGGCACATGCCTATAATCCCAGCTACTTGGGAGGCTGAGGCAGGAGAATTGCTTGAACCTGGGAGGTAGAGGTTGTGGTGAGCCGAGATCACGCCACTGCACTCCAGACCGGGCAACAACAACAACAAAAAAGTTTGCATCTATAGAGGAAAAATACACAATCAAAACATAATTTGGAATCCATAAAAATTTATATATAATCTTTTGCTCTTTGCTGATGTCTTTCCCACAGGTTTAGAGAGAAGAAAAAAATCTGCCTGTCTAGGATCTTGTTTTACTTACACTAGCTATGAATTTCCTACCTTACCACTTATTCCTCAACCCATGGTGGAATTCTAGTTTCCACCATCCTATTCCAAATGTGAAATGACTTGTTAAAATAGCCAACAGCTTCTAATTTCGGAATCTAATGAATTATTTTTGGTACTTGTGTTGGAAAACCTCTTGAATCATGTTTTCTCTCTGTTCTCACACCAACACGACAATCAACACAGAAGACTTCCATGACCCCCAAAATGTGGAGATTTCTCTCCACCAGCAAGCACACAAGCAATTCTGCAGCGGACACCAGCTGGGTGTCCTCCAATTCACTTCTGACACTATATACCTGGAGACAGTGTCAGATCCTACAGTTTGGGAATCAGTCCCCGAGACCGCCCCACTTCAGACACCGATTGCAAATCTAGGCCTCTGGATCTACCGGCTTCAAGTTGGGGTTCCCATGACCCCTGCTTTGAATTCAATTAGTTTACTGGAGTGGATCACCGAACACTTATATTTGTTCATTTATTATAAACGATAAAGATGAAGAGATGCATACAAGGTAAGGGGAAGGGGCATGGAGCTTGCAAGCTTTTCCTGGGGCCTGCCATCCTCTAGGAACCTCCATGTATTCAGCTTTTGGAAGCTCTCTGAACCTGTCCTTTTGGGTTTTTATGAAGGCTTCATTATGTAGGCATGATTGTTAGTGGAGATCAACTTGACCTTTATCAATCTCCTCATCCAGGAGGTTGGAAGCTGGGGCTGAAGTCCCAACCCTCTAATCATGCCTTTCTCCTTCCAGGGACCAGCCCTATCCTAAAGCTCTGTCAACATTAGTATACAAAAAGACAGCTCTTTGGAGATTACAGGCATTTTAGTTGCACGCTAGGAAACAGGGACAGAGACCAAATTTATATATTTCACAATCTTACAATACTTCTATTTTCATATCCTTCTGCTATTTTATTTTAATTAATTAATTAATTTATTTGAGACGGAGCTTTGCTCTTGTTGCCCAGGCTAGAGTGCAACGGCCTGATTTCAGCTCACTGCAACCTCTGCCTTCCGGGTTCAAGCAATTCTCCTACTTCAGCCTCCCAAGTAGCTAGGATTACAGGCATGCGCCACCATGCCTGGCTAGTTTTTGTACTTTTAGTAGAGATGGGGTTTCACCATGTTAGTCAGGCTGGTCTTGAACTCCTGACCTCAGCTGATCCACCTGCCTTGGCCTCCTACAGTGCTGGGATAAACAGGCATGAACCCCTACGCTGTTCTTTTCTGTGAAACTATTTGCTTTTGGTTGAGTTCCAGGACAAATGTTTTCGGGATTCCTCGGCAATCTGTCTTTAGAGATGGGTTCCAGGCTGGAGGGCAGTGATGAGATCATAGCTCAGTGCAGCTTCAACCTCCAGGGCTCCAGTAATCCTCCCACCTCAGCCTCTTGAGTAGCTGGGATTACAGGCATGTGCCACTGTGCCCCCGTGCCCTGTTTTTGCTATCTTTAGCACTTGGCCATTCTGTTCCAGTCTACTGTCCCCATTGCCTTTCCATATACAAATGATCATCAAGTCCTACCACAGTATTTTCTAAATATCTTTCAAATGTACCTTTTCTTCTCCATTCTTCTCTATGGTCTCCTAGCCACTGTCTTTGTTCACAGTTATCTCTGCCAAAATAATCTTTCTAATACACCAAAGTAATCTTTCCAAAACACAAATCTCATTATGGCATGGCCCTATTTAAAATCCTGTAACTATTTCTTAACTTAGCACGCCATACTCAGTATTTCTTGATAGATGCACTAACGGCATTTCAAGACAATTTTTCATTGTTCATTGCTGTTTTATAGGTCTTTTTAGCACCCCTGGCTTCCCAATAGCATGCTGCACTCACTGCAACAATCAAAAGGTCCCCTCACATTTCCATACTGCCTTAGGGTACTGGTATTATTCTATGTTGAGGACAGTTGGATATGACCCATGTTTCATACCTCACCAGCCCCATTACTGTTACTGTCTAGAACAACTTGCCATACGCCTGTGAGAGCCAGAGGGTACAATCTTATCCTTCCTTAGATATAACACTTCCTCTCACACAGCTATGCCTTGGCAATCCTCTAGTCTCTATCCGGAATGCTCTTCCCATGCTTCTCTGTATGGACAGCTCCAATTTAAAACACTTTTTTTTTTTTTTTAAATAAAGAGGCCCAATCTTTTAAATTAATTAATTATTTATTTTTAAAAATTTTTATTTATTTATTTTTTAAGATGGGGTTTTACCATGATGGCCAGGCTGGTCTTGAACTCCTGACCTCAGGTGATCCACCCACCTCGGCCTCCCAAAGTGCTAGGATTATAGGCGTGAGCCAACGCACCCGGCCAAAACACTCTTAATTCAAGATTCAACTTAGGCACTACCTTTGCAATGACACATTCTGGCCATCTTGACCCACACATTCTCAAATTCTTTCAGAGGTTGGGGCCCTTCTTTGGTTATTAAAGCACCTGTAAACCTCTTTTACATTTGTTCTATTTTCATTATCACGTCTGTTTCTAGTACACAGACAGTGAATACTGTAGGGACAGACTTTTATCTCACTCCTTTTCATATCTATAGTGTTTAGCACAATGCTTGGCACATGGTTAGAGCTGTTCAACAGACTCATAAATTTATCTTTCTGTTGAGACTACTGAGGAATAAACTTGAACTGAAGGAAAAAAAGTCAAGCAGAGTTGCCTATCTTCTAACTCCATACCTATAATCCTTCAGCTCCTATTACAGAGACCACTTTCCTTTCTGGCAATTCTCTTTCACATTGATATTAAATACAAAACAGAAAGTCAAGATAGTACTAAATACAATACATCTGAATAAAAACAGGTTATCTTGAAGCAAGGCTGTATAAGAGATGAACAACTCTCATATCTTCTATGTGCCTATATCTAGTGACATTATTTTATTTTTACTTAAATGTATGTCAAATACCTACTACTATGGAAAGCTAACATTTAGAGGAAGATTTCTTCCCCTTGGTATCTTTCCTCGATGAAAGTATTGGTCAGATAATTTGTGGGTAGCCATTTTTGTACGGAGAATGCCTCAAAGTGGTTATGAGTTGTCAAAAAAGTTAAAAATTACTCATTTAGGGATCTGACAAAATTAAAGATTTCACAATTAAAGTACTGACACAAATAAACACCTCAAAAATCTTTGGGTTGATGGCTTATAAACTCAGCAAAAAAGAACAAAAATTTTGCATTTAAAAAGTTCAAAAACTAATAATAAGTGAATACACTAAGTTCTTATTTGGTTGAATGCATTATGATGAGATATTTTTCTTTTTTCTCATGATTAATGGTATATACCTAACTAAATTAAGAGTCTAAATATCTTAGTGATTCTGTGTTTCCCAAAATTCGTACATCATGGTAACATGCAAAATGCAAAAAGATGCATATACTAGACCAACATCTTTGCCCTGAAAAACTAAAATGTTTTTGGTGTTACTTCAAATATCTGCAGTCTTACTCTAATACTCTAACTCAATAATGAAAACATATATAGCAAAATTATGGCACTCTAGAAGCAATGGAAACCTTATAAATTTAATTTTTACCTGGGATTGTTTTTTAATGTATTTACTAAAAATTCATGTAGATCTATGCCAGTTGAATCAGTGTATTCTTGACTGGAATCTAAAAAACAACAACACAAAAACCCAGTATAAAGTTGTTTGAAAACAAATCCCATTCCCTTTTACATATGATGTATATCTTATATAAAACAAGATGCCCCACATTGAAAAAAATGTCAAAGTAGGAAAAGTTACAATGGACTCACAAGACAATTTTTCTATTCAGATCTAATGTGCATGACAAGAGTTTATATAACTGCATGTCCATGTACATTCTTAAAAAAATTAACCTCTCATATATGTCTATTTAATTTCCTCTAAATTCTTTAAAGATTCTTTTATATACTCACCACATCTTCATGTTTAAAATGCCTCCATGGGTAAAATATTTAAATGATTTACATAATTAACTACATTTGTAGCAAATTAAGACAGCTTAGTTCAGATATGAATACAAATGGAGGCAATAATTTGGAGGTAGATAGAATTTTTAAATGTAAAAGAATTTTAGATTTTTATCAGGTCTATTAAAAAAATGGCTTGCTTTCAAAATACTTTCAAATATTCATGCTATCTTCTCCTTAAATGTAATAATATCCTTATACTATTTATAGTACTGGCCAAGGTGACTGAGTTTTTAAATTTAAAAAGCATTTCTATTGATCTGTAGTCTGCAATATTAGATTATAGTGAAGATCCTCCAAAATTAAGAAAAATAAACATTCTGTTTCCAAGAATATTCTTACTGGATACACTTACTCATCAGCTCTTTGTATCATAAGGAATTAAAGAGTGATAATATCCTTAGTGGAATCAATATATAAATTATAATGACTCTAGTATTTTACTATGAGTGAGGGACCAGTAAGAGTTAAGATGCTTCCCTTCCTCAATGTCTGTTATGTGTTGCAAATTTTGGCTGAAATGTCTTACTGATATATAAAATTGTGTTCAACAATTTTGCCCAGATATCATCCTTCCATTCTGTTCTGTATCATTTTACATAAAGATATATTATATATAATTATTCGAGAGGTAAAGGATGGAATGACTAATAGCAAAATTATTTAAAAAAAAAAAAAAAGAACTGCAAACCTCTTGATAACATTTTTCTGGGCAACTTATCACTGGCCTTTTCTTTTCCTGCTTCATCTTTTGAGGGCCTCTCTTCTTTCTCAAATGATTGTGTTAACTGGATCTGAATTTTCTCCTGTTGGAAAGCAAAGTCAGTTATTCAATGAAAACACAACATAATTCATTTAATAACACACATTTATATTTTTTGAGTAACACAAAATTGTACGGAGCAAAAAGATTATTTTACCAAACTGGAATCTTCAAACTCAAAAACAACTTAAAAATACCACTTTTATCAGATACTTTATATAAAATGTTAAAACTTAGTGTTCTGAGTTGAATATACCAATTAAAACATATTCTCAAGATTATTTTAGAGAAACTAATTATTTCCTATTATAGTTTAAGTGCATCAACTTGTAAAATCCCTGGAGGATGAGAACTCGGGTCTTCTTAACCTACTTTTGCAATGAAGATGCCAAGCAAAAGCAACAATTATCATCAAGCGTGACAATACACATGTATAAGAGTCAAGGCAATGACTAATAAAAATTAGGTTTCTGAGTAGCCTTTATAATCACACACTCCTTTGTTCTCCATGTAAAAATGTAAGTACAAAAATTTCCAAAATAAACAGCACAGTTTATTTCATTTTTGAGACTCATATATCACTGTTAATCCTTCAATCACCACAAAGTTGTTTAGAAAGATTTCAAACAAGACTGTATCCTTACAGATATGTAATGTTTAACTGTAAAGTAACCACATTCTATAAGGCTGAAATGGAGAACTAATTCACATTTTATTTTAGAAGCAATGTCATTACATGCAATTCCAGAACCCAAAGGGATTACTAGAAATTAATCCACACAGACAGAAAAAGTAAAAATCATGTATGTCTGTTTACTTAGGTAAAGTTACAAAGAAAGCTATAATAAATTCTACATCAGTTTTACTAAAGAAAAGGTGTAGCCTATTTTTAGACTAAATTATACTGTTGTTCTATAGTCATGAAAACCATCAATCAGACACATAGATTTTTTTTTTTTTTACCCCAATAGGACTACTACCTGCTGTTTTCATCTCTTATTACATCATACCAGTTCAAATTTGTGTTCATAATATAGGGCAAATGATGCACAATGGCAGTTTTCACTAAGATGACAAACATTTGCTTTATGACTCTCTCTGTCTTGTTTACCAAAGACATTGGCAAATTCCTTACAGTCATTAATCAGTAAGTAATTTTTCTTATTGTGATTCATTTTCCAACCTACTTTATTTACTTTTTTTTTTTTAACTGTAAAACAGGTATCTAGAAATGAATCCCAGAACTATTTTTCAGAAGTATAATATTTACTTTTCCTGACTTGTATCTTCTATTCTGGTTACCCAAGAGGAACCCAATGAAATCCAGGCTGGGAGAAGAGATTTCACACTACCTCCTCTTCGATCTTCACTAAATGGCACTTCCAGTGAGTAGCAGATTTCATTTCTAAGCTCTCCTCAAAAAGCTATATATATATTTTTTTGAGACGGAGTTTCGCTCTTGTTACCCAGGCTGGAGTGCAATGGCACGATCTCGGCTCACCGCAACCTCCGCCTCCTGGGTTCAAGCAATTCTCCTGCCTCAGCCTCCCGAGTAGCTGGGACTACAGGCGCGCGCCACCATGCCCACCTAATTTTTGTATTTTTAGTAGAGACGGGGTTTCACCTTGTTGACCAGGATGGTCTCGATCTCTTGACCTCGTGATCCACCCGCCTCGGCCTCCCAAAGTGCTGGGATTAAAGGTGTGAGCCAACGTGCCCGGCCAACTATATGTTTTAATTACAGATATTAAACTATTTTATCAAAAGGAATTATATTTTTAAAATCTTGTAGTCTTAATGTGTTGAGGTCTTGTCTTCAGTTGGCCCAGTTTTCAGTAGTGAATAAACAAGATACATTTTAAATGCTGATGTCCTTATATACAAAATGTTCTGACTATAAATAACTGGAATAATAGCTACCTCTCCATAGGAAGCTGCTTTTCCTTTACTATTCACTCTGTCATTGACATCTGTCATTGAGGTCACTTCCTACTCACAAGCTCTCATTAGATACAAGTGACATCTCTCTCTTAATTGCCTCTCCACTTTTTGAATAATGAATTTTATTCCAGATAATTCCTCAAAAATCACATTCTGAATCAAGCAAATTAGTTGGAAAGGGTGTCTACCATCAAGGATTAGATACTAGCACATTTCATGAGAAATAATTTATTTTCCAATTTCCACTCAGGTGCAATTTAATTATCTCAAGGTTTGGAAAAAGACTTCCTACTAAAAGAAGTATCTTTTATTCAGAGGATTTTATTCATAGACTATTATCCAAAAAGAAAAAGTTTGCTGTATCTAAGAGAAACTGAGAAAGAATATATGATGGGGAAATAACTGAATTGTGATATAGCTCCTTTTATTATCCATATGTCATAACTCATCTTTTTGAACTGTAAACACAAGAAATTATCTATAATCAATAATGTATGTATCAATACACAACATATATTCCTGTTATTTTTTTCCTCATATAAATTTTAACTAGCCAATTTAGTACCATAACAGTTTCTCCCTCAACATTTTTCAAATAGGTAAAATGCACTAGAAAAAACAAAGGTCATCCTTCAGTGTTATGAGGCTAAGATGGTATAAAATCTGTTTTTTGGTCAACAAAACAAATAAATGGATTTTCGAAAACATTACAGTGCCTACTACTCCATCCCAAACAGGTGTATTCTTTACTCTAACTTGTACAAAAGAACTTTTTTTTTTCTTTTTTGAGACAGAGTTTTGCTCTTGTCACACCGGCTGGAGTGGAATGGCACAATTTCGGCTCACTGCCATCTCCACCTCCCAGGTTCAAGAGGTTCTCCTGCCTCAGCCTCCTGAGTAGCCAGGCATGCACCACCACACACACTAATTTTTGTAATTTTAGTAGAGACAGGGTTTTACCATGTTGGCCAAACTGCTCAAACTCCTGACCTCAGGTGATCTACCTGCCTCGGCCATCCCAAAGTATTGGGATTATATCCGTGAGCCACGGTGCCCGGCTAAAAGAACTTTTTAAAAGTGCTGTTTCAAAAAACAATTTTACTGATTTTTTTTCAGATTGTATTATAGTTCTTCAGTCTTTTCACAACCATGCAAAACCCAAAGGTTAGTATTTGAAAATGTTCTCTAAGCAAGGATTTAGTAAATACTTTGATTGTATTTCTGCTTTTTGCTAGAAAGTCTATTTTATTGCTAAAATATATCAATTTTATCAAACATGCATACAGCTATCTCCCATGTAGCTACATTTAAAAAAAAAAATCACAAATTAATTTTCAGCCCTATGTTTCTGATGCAAAGAAATGTCAAAGCAAACAGATTTTTAAGTACATTTCATTGACAACAATCTATTTCAAAACATTTTCCTTGCATTTTTGAAGCAATAAAAAATGTAGTGCTTTTTAAAAACGGTACAATTCTAAATATGTGACAATTATTCTCAATATCTGTAATAGGCTTCCGAGGGTATCATGTAAATCAAGGGAAAGTATAAAAGTTTTAGTTTGAATCACCAAATGTATAATGATATTTGCTTTATAAAAAAGATGTACATGTCATGGATCAGTCATGGCTTCTTAAATAACCACAATATTCCCTGAATTCCTTGGAAACTGTTTGTTGGGACATAGAAGCATTTTAAGTTGCTCAAACTCTTCTTAAGTAGAACAAGCCACTAAGCAAAGTTATCACATGATAAACATTGGTAAAGGGTCCAAAAATATTTATGCAAAAATATACAGATATAACACAAGACAGAGATCAACCCATAGCTGAGATTAACAGAAATGTAGACATAGCATTAAAAAGAATATAAGAGGCAAAGTAAATGGTTTGCCTAAACTTCATTGTTCTAAATTTTACAAGAATAGACGTGAGAAATTAGAAGTACTAGGTAATTATTGAACAGCCAAAGTAATATGAAAATTGGCTTCACCATGCATTCAAGTTACATTAAATAACCTATCAAGAAGAAGTCTTGGGTAGTCTCTTTGCATACAAGCATTAAGTATTTGAAAAATTTCTAAAAGGTAAAACTAAAACAGCAAATTTCATCACAATTATATTTCACTGGATGTGCCACCTTAATATTTTTTAACTTTACAAAAATAATTTATAACTCTCTTAAAGCCACATTCCTAATTAACTGCATGATTCCTAAGTTTTTCAAGAAGAGAAATCATTGCTCAAAGCCTTAGATTGAAGCAAAGAGTTTTTCTAACTTATCATGTGTATTTTGGGTGCCAAGTATTATTGAATCAGTTTCATTCAGGAAAAATAAAACAAACGTTAACAAACACTAACTTAATTTAATCATAAAAAAAATTTCTCCAGTTCCACCATGGCTTGAAATAACATTTGTTTTGCTTTTTTTTTTTTTTTTTTTTTACCTGGTTCTCCTGTGATATCTCTGCTGCAGGGGGTGGTGGTGATTCTTCACACACTGCAAGGCTCCGAACTAGCTTTAACTTTGAGCTTGACTAAAGAGAAGTATTTATAATTAACACTACATTTCAGAAATCTAGGGCATATCCAAAAGCCCCCTAGAAAGAGTTTCTAAGTTTCTTTATAAATAGTGTCTGCCATGTATAACAGTAGATGAAATGTGCAAGTTAAATATATCATTAATCACTACTAAAGGCCTTTGTTAAGAAGGAAAACAAACAATTGCAGTTTTGAAAATTATAGCAATAGAAACAATGAGAATAATTCCAACTTCATATCCCAAAGAATGGTGAGAAAGCGATTTTCTCTACAGATAAAGAACCATCAAGATAAAAAAGCAATGCACAAAAGCGACTAGGCAAGACAAAAACCCCAAATAAAACAAAATAAGCTTTCTGCCCCCCCAAAAAATATGAAAGAACTAAACTGAATGTAGTGCTATATGAAAACAAGGATTCATCAAGCATGAAGGAAGGCCCTTGGCATGCCAGCACACCAAAATATTTACTATACCTTAGACCTTTTTCCTGTCTGTCCAAATGACTGCAATGGCCGCTGAATATACAAGAAAGATTTGTATTAAATTTCATACTGAAACAGAAAATTTGCTTCTTAATTCATACTCCTAAACCACAGAAAAACTAACTGCACATAAAGTATGAAAAATGAGGAAATCAAAGTTGGTTTCAGTGAAAGAGTACTGATTCCTCCCAGAAGCACACTTGCAGAAGAATCTTTAAATCCTGGTAGGTTGGCATTTTTCTTTATTTTTTCTTTCTTAGGCATTTTTCTTTAAATCAGAAGGCCACAATTTTTGTGTTAATTGTGTATAATGACATTTATATGGTGACTTCTTAGTAGTGAAATAAAATATACTTCATTATTTTACAACATATTATAGTTTAGGCAAGGTTAGGGAAGAACAACACACAAAAATCAGCAGTTTAAGGTAGATAAACTCAGAAAATTTTTCAACTTAATGAGAATGTTTCAAATGCACAGTGAGTTAGAGTGCAACTACAAATCTACTGAGCCATTTCAACACTGTATGAAGTATACCATCAGTTTATTAGTGACAGAAACCTATTCATTAGGTCCGAGGTGAAGCAATGAAGCAGAAAGGAAGAAAAAAGGGCAGATTTCCAATATGAAGGTCCAGATGACTGGCAGACCGACCATCAGTCGTAAGACTGGGGAACCTGGTAAGGCAAGCTAACTCAAGTATGTGATACAAGCTTTGGTTTGGGAAACCAGCTGAAGCACCTGTCAATCAGAGCCAGATAGGTTTTAAACATTCTTTCCTTCTACTTCCTTCCAATTTTCCTCTTCAAACCCAACCCCAAATAGTACAGGGCCCAGGTATCTACCATTTTTATTTCTTAACATCAGGGACCCAGTCTGATACCAAACGTAAAACAGATATAAAATCCTTAATATCCAGACTAGTATGCTTTACATTAAAAAAAAAAAAAAAAAAAAAGGCCACCATTTTACTTCAAAAAGGCCTTCCTTGTAGAGTCAGCAGAAATAAGAGTCTATAGTACCAGTATGTCCTGCCCTCATTTTGAGCCAAAGTTCTTCAAAATGAAAAAGGCCTGTATTCTTGGGATTTTAATCCTGGATTACACAAGCTACAGAATAATAACAAAAGGAAAACAGAAAAAATAAAAGAAAATGACTTTCTCTTTCTTATACAGAAGAAAATAGTATGTGTACGCACAAATACACATGGCAGTGCTGCCTAAGAGGGCTTCTGCATGTTGGTATTGTCTTCTGTTTCTATCTACTTTCTAATTTGCTCAAGAGGATTTCTAATTGCCTGTAACTCACATCTAACAACAGAAGTAAAATAAATTGTGCTACCATCTAGTCTAGGTGGTAGATGCCACCATCTAGGGCCCACAGGAAAAAAAAGTGGGAGAAAAGCAACAGTGAATACTATGAAAATGCACATAACTAAATGAGTCCTGAGGAAGCAGAAGGGAAAAGAGTTTCTGACTTACTCCCAGTCTTCTGCTTTATCTCTTGTAATTTTAAGTGTTACTGGTATAAAATCTTCTATTAAAAATCTCTAAAATGAAAGGGGTCATTAACTGGCAATGTAAATGCTGTATTCATATGCAGAAGAGCTGGACTTAAATTTTTGAATTTGCTTCTTATTAGTGGGTAATCATGGTCAAATTACTTCAGTTTACTTTAATCTGTCTAAAAGTTTTCATACTATTTGCACTAATTCACAGGGTTCTTGAAAGGATTCAATGAAAGCGTAGATAAAAAAGGGACTTTGAAAACTCTAAAATGCAAATAAATGTAATTGATTATTAAAGGTTAGGAACTGACCATGTCAGAAAACCAATGTGCTTCCTCTACTTATTAGCAATGAGATTAAATTACTTAATCTAATAAATGCTAATTTTAAAAAGTGTATAAAATGGGGATGCTCTCTATTTCCCTATCATAATGGTTAAGAGCATTCATAGACTTACACATGTATTAACTATCTCACTTTTAATCTACAAGGAGACTTTGACAAAGATGAGGAAAAGATAAAGGAAGATACAGAGAAGTAAAATTATCTTAATTTGACTTCATTTAACAAACATGTTTTAGGTTCCTGTTCTATACCAGACACTGTGCTAGGCACGAGGGCTATGAAGATGAGTAAGACACAGTTCCTGGTCTTAAAGACCTCACAGTCCAGAATCAGCTACTAGTCAAACAGAACCCTAGATCTTTAGAAGCTTAGTCCAGTGCATTTAATATCTATTAAAAAAACTTTATTGTGGATTAAATTCTACTTGAGGTAGACAGAATTCTAAAGATGGCCCCCAAGAGTCCCATTCGCTGCTTATTCAATCAAACACAAATCTAGGTACTGCAGAGGAAGGATTTTGCTTTTTTTTGAGACTCAGTCTCACTCTATTGCTCAGGCTGGAGTGCAGTGGTGTGATCTCGGCTCACTGCAACCTCCGCCTCCCAAGTTCAAGTGATTAGTCTGCCTCAGCCTCCAGAGTGGCTGGGATTACAGGCACTCATGCACGGCTAATTTTTGTATTTTTAGTAGAGACAGAGTTTCCCTATATCGGCCAGGCTGGTCTCAAACTCCTGACCTTAAATGAGCAGCTCCCTTGGCCTCCCAAAGTGATCGAATTACACATGTGAACTACTGTGCCCTGGTGGATTTTGCATTTGTTAACTAAGCTCCAAGCTAGCTGATCTTAAGATACAATTTAAGATTCAGGTGAGTCTAATTCAATAAAAGCTGAGACTTTTCTCTGGTGGGAGCATAGGAGCAAGTCAGAGAGATTTAAAGCATGAGAAGGACTTGACATATTGTTGATGCTTTCAAGATGGACGTGCCATATAAAGAGGACTATGAGCAGCCTCTTGGAACAGAGTGGCCTTTACTGACAACTAGCCAAAAAACAGGACCTCAGACCTGCATACAGTTTTGGGCCCACTGTGACCTGATAATGAGTGTTGTCTTTAAAGCCTCTATGGTTGTGGTCATTTTTATGCAGCAATAGAAAACTAATATACTACTATATAAGTAAACTATAAATTGCCAATAGCATTATTCAATAACATAATTTCAATTTCCTTTCAAATAGTGAATAACTGATATTATATGTACTAGAAAATGCACACAACAAAGCAGAGAAAACAAGTTGTTTATTAAAGTAAACAGACTTTATTTCATATTTTTATAATCCATTTGACAGTCAGATTTGGCTTTAAATAGGAATTCTATTTGATATGTAATTATTTAAAAAATGGATTTTATTATTTAGAGCACACTTTTCACCCTTAGCAGAATTTCACTGTCACAGTAAAAATTTAGCAGCTTGTTTAATAGACATGTATTAGTCCATAGAAATGCCTTAAATTAGAATTTACAAGGCTTAGGGACAAAATCCCCAATTTATAATTTACATTGTTTTATACTGAAGTATAAGACAGGAACTAGGCCAAAAAAATGGGTGCAGAATATGAAACATCCTTAACAGAATTTCAGTTTGAAATTGATACTAGTAAGTCGTCAGAACTATCAGCTACTAGAATTTGGAGAACTGAGAAAAACAGAGCAATCCTAATTAGTTATATATGTACTGGCACAAAAATACCAATTAAATATCACTCAACTAACAAAATCTGACATTTGAAAAATAGGGATAATTTTCTCTTTGTAATTAATAATTGTTAGGAAGAAAAATTTAATGGTTACACCCTTTCAACCAGACTCAATACACCTTGAAGAGCTTACAAATTCTTGGTACTTTTCTAGGTAACAGTAAAGATTAATGGGAATTATAAGGAAGACAATTAAAATGTTCCATGTCTAGTTACGATCAGGGGAGTAAAAACAATGGATGCCAGGATGCCAATTTCTACTGGAATAAAAGATACGAAGTTCTCTGAGGCAGGAGAGCTATTTTAAAAATCAATAAACCAATAAACCAAATACAATCACAATTTATTTTTAACATTTAACCTTTTGAGCCATAAAGCACAAAGTTAAATATTCAAAGGCCTGACTCTTAGACTCTAATGAAAAGTCCATGGAGAAAGTCACAAACTAACTGGTTTAGTGTTATGCCATATAATAAATGAAGATCAAGGATCATCCCATCCTACTGGTGATGTACATGAAAATTATCCAAAGAAGTACAAACAATAAGTATGCAAAAGCATTTCTACATCTACAAGATGTAGCAAACATCTTTACACATCCCAAGAAAGCACCATGAAAAGTAAATGTGCTTACAAGTGCTACCATATGCACCTATGATACAAGTTCAGTAGAAAGAGTACCAAATCCTAGAATTATAAAAATAAAGCATACTATGGAAAATGTATTGTAAGTTTTAAAAAGTTGAACTCATTCAATATGAATAAAAAACAATAAAAATACAGCATACAGTTACAGAATTTAATAGAAATAAACAAACCCACTGTACTGAAAATGTGGGAAGGCTATGGTAAGTTTTACTCTTTATTACTAAAGAAAAATCTATCTTGCAAGACAATAAAGGTACAAATTTGAGAAGCCATATAATCGTGCTACTGTTAATAAATAGTAACAACTATGATAATGATTATAACACTGTTAATACCACCTACAGCTTGTCAGGCTTTTTGAACTAGGTACAATACAGATATCTTTTTTTTTTTTTCTGAGACAGAGTCTCACTCTGTCACCCAGGGTGGAGTGCAGTGGTGCAATCACAGCTCACTGCAGTCTTGACCTGGGCTCAGGTGATCCTTCCACCTCAGCCTCCTGAGTAGCCACCATGCCTGACTAATTTTTTGTAACGATGGGATTTGCCATGTTGCCCCAGCTGGTCTCACACTCCTGGACTCAAGCACTCTGCTTGCCTCGGCCTCCCAAAGTGCTGAGATTACAGGCGCGAACTAATGTGCCTGGCCATACTTTTTATTTATTATTATTATTATTTTAAGGAACAGGTCTTACTCTGTTACCCAGGCTAGAATGCACTGGTGCAATCCTAATTCACTGCAACCTCAAATTGCTGGGCTCAAGTCATACCCCCACCTCAGCCTCCCAAGCAACTAGGACTACAGTCATATACTGTGACGCCTGGCTAATTTTTTGTTTCTATTTTTTGTAGAGACAAAGTCTTCCTGTGTTGTCCAGGCTGGTCTAAAAATCCTGGGCTCAAGCAACCCTCCTGCCTCAGCCTCCCAAAGCACTGGCATGAGCCACCATACTTGGCCACACTCATCCTTTTAATCTTTCTTTGACAAGCAGGAAAACAGCTAAGGTTATTATTTGAATTATTTTATATAAAGAGACTTTTATTCAGTCCTTTAAAAAAACACTTCATTTCTTAACAGATTAATGAAATAATTATTTCATCAATTCTTTCCTAGCAAATTAAGGAATTTGTTATTTACTGCTCTCATTGTGGAAGAAGTGTGGCCTTCTGTTCCGAGCTTTTCTGACAGCCTTATTAGATTCACTGCTTTCTTGCCCCTTATCTTGCCTAGACCCTTTTTAAAGAAATGCATTGGAATTAACTTGAGGAATACAAGACATAAGAGTCTCATCGTAATTATCAAAGGGCTTACTACTGAAACAGAATATATAAAATATGTATTTTAGCCAACTCTCAGTGTGGAAAATTCACTCATATATGTCAGAGCTATTCATTGACTGGCACACATGGCCTTGTTTACCAATACAACTTGGATTGGCTATCCTATTGTTAATAATAATGAAGGGGGAGAGGCATTGTTTGAACTGTTCCCAAATATGTTTTGAATTGTGTGCATATACACATGTATATAGATGAACACCCCTGGACAAACCATTTGTTAAGTACAAAGATACAACTGTAAAAGAATGGGAAAGTTGAGTTTGAACCTTTAATAAGCAGAGCACAGGGTTCTTAATTTTATATTTCAAATGACTGCAAAAATCAATACAAATATAATTTATCCTAAGTTTATTATTAAAAAAAATTTTTTTTTTTTAGACAGGGTCTCACTCTGTCACCCAGGCTGGAGTGGAACAACACAATTTCAGCTCACTGCAACCTCAATCTCCCAGGCTCAAGCAATCCTCCCACCTCAGTCTCCCGAGCAGCTGGGACTACAGGTGCATGCCATCACACCCAACTAGTTTTTGTATTTTTTTTTTTTTTGGTAGAGACAGGGTTTCGCCATGTTGCCCAGGCTGGTCTGAAATTCCTGAGATCTGCCTGCCTCAGCCTTCCCCAAAGTGCTGGGATTACAGTCATGTGCCACTGCACCAGGCCAATTTACTCTAAATTTAATCTGAAAAACCTATCCGTGAAGAAAATCAAACAATGGAGACCACATCAGTGAGTTATACACAGGAAATCAAAGAAAACAGTTCCCACCATCCACTTAACCCATGTTAAAGATTAGGGATACTTGTAGTCTAACAAAATACATTTTTCTGGATTTAGAAACCTGGCACCCACCACCCCAACCTTCTAAATGTTTCATAAAAATGTAAAGTCCAAAATGTACCTCCACATTCTCAATAGAAACAGTGTGTGGCAGTAGAAAAATTACTGACCAAAAACCTGTCAGGTAACTGAGGCCATAATCAACAGTTCAGAACAACCCCAAGACAACTATGCGGAAAAGTTAACTTCCTGACATTAATGCACACAAATTTCTTGAATTAGCTCTGAAGTATTAAGAAATTCTTACGAAAGTAATCCTAAAACTTCTATAAAAGATCACAGTCCAAAACAAAACCCTGAATAAAAAACATGTATTTTTTAAAAGTAGAAAGAGAAAACTGGTAAAAGCAGAAAGACAACACAAGTAGAATTATTTATAAATTAAATGGTCAAAGAGCTCTCTGAGATAATCTCTGCTTGGAACCACCTGAGATGACATATCAAGTCTGTTCGTCTCTCTCTAGTTTGATGAAATTATTTTTTATGTAAATACTATCCTTAACACAAAGAAAATCATAAGGTTTCTACATAGTACAAAAGAGGCTATAATATCCCTTAACTGAAAATAACTTCACTCAAAATGTATACATTAGATGTTCAGTTTTTTATATAAATGAATGAAATGAATGCTTCTTTTGGAAGGGAAACATTTCTGTTTCCTTTAATCACTAAATATTACTATGCTAAAGCAAGATAACAGACATAAGTTATAATATTCATGGTAGCTGATTTTCAGAATGAGAGCAAAGTAGAGAATATCTTACTACTCTATTAGAATAAAGTAACAGTTTATTCAAAAAATCTCAATAGAAACCCTACATTATTTGCTACATACAACCAAACTTATGAGTGAAAATAGCAATTGCCATTTAAGATGACAATCTTTAGGTAGTATCTTAGAGGAAAGATGAGACATCTGGTAGTATGTTAAAATAGTTAACTCCACATTAAGTTAAAAGTAAATCCGTAGTAACCAGACTTTTTAAAAGAAAACACTTATTTCCTGTTGATGCATAAAACAGTTGACTTTGTTTTACAATATTTCAAATGAAAACACAGAACAGGCCTATTTTCCAGTTTTATCTCCTTTAAATTCCCAATTTCCATTAATTAAATCTGTTCTATAAGAGGTATTTCAACTGTACCCCCCTTGCCAGCCACCTTGGATGAAAGCATCTTGGACCTCAAAAGCTCGAAGCCGAGTCAATATTCATATATGTAGTAAATTATAAATAAATAAATAAATAAAATGAATATGGCATTCACCGGATTAACATAAAATGAGTTCTCACATTCTAATTTTTCCTCTTTCCCAATCGTTAGAGTCACTATGCTATAGGAAACAAGAGGTCAAGACCATACCCATGTTTGTTTACTATGGTATTTCCTTGGTAAAGAACAGACTTTCAATAAATGATTTGAAGAATGTGGAAAATTTTCTTATACTACAAATAACTGGGCCATGATGTGAAAGTGGTCATCAGAATGTTCTTGTAGCTTACTGTCAAAGGCAACCCAACACACATGGTAGGAAATGCAATAATCCCAGTTAATGACTTGTTGATAAGCATGATCTAGGAGACGAAACATTAAGTGTAGAAAAGAGGCTAAAATGAAATATTTTATTATTTCAATCACAAATGCAATAGAACTTTAGCAGATTTTCCCTGATGCAATCAGAACACTGGCATGCTGCCATCACTGAGTGTACTGATTACAGGCAGGGCAATTTTTTGTTGTTTGAAAAAGTGCTATTACTTTTAAAAATGACTGGGAAAAAATATGTTATTCCTTCCAATTTCTGAGATAATTCACACTTGACTATAATCAGTGGGGCCTAAATGCTTTTTTATAGCTGGAGGAATTGCTATTATTGTCTAACATGGTGTCTGATATATAATAGGGAAAAAAGAAAGTTTTTGACATAACAAAAGAATGAGATAACCTTTAAAAACAAGTTTCTTTAAAAAAGTGAAGCTAAAAAGAATAATAATAATAAAAAAGCAAAGCTGTAATTTTTGGCTTATAGCCTTCAGTCTTCAGGATATAGAAATAATGCTAGAATATTTTCTCCAAAAATATAATTTTTTAATTGCAAAGCAAAACTAAAACATTACTGTTAAACAATGTTTTTGAATAACTTTTTGTGGTAGATTAAAGGTAACTATAAATTCTTTCCTACTGAGAGATAGGGTCTAATTCCCCTTCCCCTGGGCTTTTGATTGACTTATATCATCAAAAGAAGATAGCAGAAGTAATGTTCTGGAACTTCTGGGCCTACATCAAAAGAAACCTTGCAGCTTTGTTTGGCTTTCTTGGAACATTATCTCTGGGGGATCCCTGAGCTGCCACATAAGAAGTCTGACTACTTTGGACTCACCTTGTTGGAGAAGCCATAAATAGGTGCTTCTAGTCCCACCTGAGCCCAGCACTCCAGCCATTCCTACCTAGGTGCCAGACAGGTGACAGAAGCAGTCCAGGATGCCCTAGACCAGTCCACTGGCCTGTTAAATGTCAACAAAGGACCTCTTTGGATACCTTATAAAATAGAAAATTCTCTCAGCCCAAGTCCTGCTTCATTTCCTGACTCATTAATGATGAGATAGTAAAAAAAATAAAAAATAAAAACATTGCAGGCTGGGTGTAACTGTAATCCTAGCACTTTGGGAGGCTGAGGTGTGGACTGCCAGAGCTCAGGAGATCCAGACCAGCCTGGGCAACATGGTGAAACCCTATCTCTACTAAAACAGAAAAAATTAGCCAGGTGTGGTGCTGTGCACCTGTAGTCCTAGCTGCTTGGGAGGGACAAGCAGGAAAATCACTTGAACCTAGGAGAGGGAGGTTGCAGTGAGCCGAGATCTCGCCACTGTACTCCAGCCTGGGTGAGAGTGAGACTTCATCTCAAAACGAAAAGGTTTAAAAGTTGTTAGTCCTTTATTTTGAGAAAATAGACAACTAGAAAAGTTTACCAAATAAATGAATACTACTAGAAATACAATTACTTGGGACCATTTTTACCTATCTTGAATCTGTTAATCTACTCAATTTCCGTTTATTCCCGGAATCAGAAGTCTTCTCAGTGGCTAGTTCTAAGTCATTATATACGTACAGAATCAAAAGCATTATATTTCCCCCCCCATAAATCCTTTTTATCAGTCAGGTTGAGTGACTGAGGAACCCTCTGAAGGCTGTTTTTGCTAATAGATTGTCAGCAGTTTTATTCTATTTCTCTTTCCTCTAAGAGATCTTAGGTTAAAATGTTGAACGTTCACAGAACTGATAGGAAAACGGTGGAATGAGAAAGTATAAAGTCAACAAAAATGCACTAGTCACATACAAATAAAAAGAATATTACATGATACAAGCAAATCAGAGTTAAGACTCACAGCAAGCTAAACCACATGGGTCCAAAACCAGCTGGTAAGCATGTCACCAAGGGTCAACTTACCCTTTTAGAATTTTGAGAAGTAAGTTTTGTATGAAAATAAACATAAATATATGCTGAATATTTAGTATTAGCCAGAGAAAAAATTTTGTTTACCTGCAAATCAATATTGTTCTCAATACAATGTTCATTCTTCTCTACCAAAATCTTCCCATAGTTTTCTGATTTGATAATATCTTCAACTCTGGTTGTATCTTTCACTTCTGGCTCCAAATCCTTCATTGTAGCAGTTTCATCTTTTACAGTAACAGTATCAGACATCCTCATTAGCAAAGGTTATTTTTGAATTCTACAGGGAGCTTGAAGCCTTAAGAAAAAAAAAATTAATCCAGTTTGAAACATTTTTACATTCAGTTACTGCACAATACTGACTGTCTGCTATGTTCCAGAAATAATGTTGAATAATATAGACAGGAGCAAAATTCCTGTTTTCAAGGAGTATATAATTTTGTGGTAGATACATCCACACACACAAAAAAAATCACAATATAGTGAGAAAAGAGCTACAAAAAGGATGTGAGCCAGGCGCAGTGGTACCCGCCCATAGTCCCTTCTACCTGGGTGTCAGACAGGATGATTGCTTGAGTCCAGGAGGTTGAGCCCAACCTGGGCAACAATAGCGAGTCCCTATTACTAATACATAAATAAATACATTTAAAGAGAAAGAAGACCAGGCGAGGTGGCTCATGCCTGTAATCTCAGCACTTTGGGAGGGCAAGGCGGGTGGATCACGAGGTCAAGAGATTGAGACCATCCTGGACAACATGGTGAAACCTTGTCTCTACTAAAAACACAAAAATTAGCTGGGCGTGGTGGCGGGCACCTGTAGTCCCAGCTCCGTGGGAGGCTGAGGCAAGAGAATCACTTGCACATGGGAGGCAGGGGTCGTAGTGAGCTGAGATCACATCACTGAACTCCAGCCTGGCAACAGAGCAAGACTCTGTCTCAAAAATAAAAAAAGAATATGAGGTGATTTTCATGCACATTTACTTGTGGCAATTCTTAAGAAACATTAAGGACTGCGCCAGATCAAGGTAGAAGGTAATGGCTGGAGAATAATATATTTGTATTTAGAAGACATTAGAAATCTTTTTCTCCAAAGGGATACCTATCATAGCTTTTTCATCTGGATTCCTAAAATTCCTAAAATTCCAAATTTCTTAATTACCCTGAAATATTTCCAAAAGGAAATAATTTAAAAAAAAACCAAAAAGGTAACAAAATACATCCATTACAAAATACACTTGTAAATCTGGATTAACAAGTATGTTCAGCAATAAGAAAGCATTGAAAACTTTCCTGAATTAAGTGATTCAATGCCAAACAACACATATTATCCAGGCACTCTAGAATATGGAATCCACAGGAAATCAAATACATAAGATTCCAATATATTTCATATCATTAGTGAGTTTAAGAAAACTACGAGTTCACAATGGGTTAATGTATCAGAGATTAAGCTAAAGACAGCTATCATGTTAAGATGTGAAAAATGTAATAAAAATAGCAGAACTTGGCTGGGTGAGGTGGCTCATGACTGTAGTCCCAACACTCTGGGAGGCCAAGGTGGGTGGATTGCTTGAGCTCAGTAGTTCAAAAGCAGCCTGGGCAACCTGGCAAAACCCAGACTTTACTAAAAATACAAAAATTAGCCAGGCACAGTGATGCATGCCTGTAATCACAGCTACTTGGGAAGCTGAGGCACAAGAATCGCTTGAAGCCGAAAAGTGGGGGGGGTCCAGTGAGCGGTAATCATGCCACTGTACTCCAGCTTGGGTGACAGAGTGAGGCTCTGTCACAAAACAAAACAAACAAAAAAACCAACAATGGCAGAACTTGATATAAACAACTGAGTCTAAAATGCATTTAAAAAAAAAGATTGATATATAGAGGGTAGACAGACATAGGTTATAGCAGGTATGATAAAACGTTACCGATAAAATCAAGGGGTGGTTATAGGGGTGTTCACTGTAAAATTCTTTAAACTTTTCTTTTTTTTTTTTTTTTTTTAAGATGGGGTTTCACTATATTGGTCAGACTGGTCTTGAACTCCCGACCTCTGGTGATCTGCCCGCCTTGGCCTCCAAAGTGCTTGGATTACAGGCATGAGCCACCACGCCCGGCCAAATTCTTTAAATTTTTCTATATTTCTGAAAATTTTCATAATAAAATCTTGTGGGGGAAAAAACCAGTGGAATTTATTTTCTCTATGTCAATTTGAAAAATTCTTAAGTTCATTTCTTGAAAGAGTGTTTTGTAATTAAATATCTAAATGGATTTTAGGGCCAGGAGCAGTAGCTCATGCCAGCAATCTCAGTGCTTTGGGAGGGTGAGGTAGGTGATCACTTGAGGCCAGAATTTGAGACCACCTTGGCCAACATGGCGAAAACCCATCTCTATTTAAAATACCAAAATTAGCCGGGCATGCTGGCACACGTCTGCATGCCTGTAGTCCCAGCTACTCGGGAGACTGAGGCAGGAGAATTACTTGAACCTGGGAGGCAGAAGTTGCACTGAGCCAAGATAGCACCACTGCACTCGAAGTAGATCCTAAAGTCACAGACAGATTGAACTATATTAAAAAACACCCATGTTTTCCTTAATTATAACCCATCCCAAAGTTAATTGGTTCCTTCTGAAAACCAACAGCTGCAAAGTGGGAAAGTGTGGGAAAGTTACTTAAAACACTTCAGCTCCTTGCTTTTTATAGGTAAAATTTTGCAAGAAAAAGAAGTGTATTTTTCTGAATGACAGCAAAGTATTACCTGATGTGTCCTTTGGATTTGGGATTGTGGTGTCCCACAAAAATAAAATAAAACAATCCAAGGTTCTTTTTCACAGTTGTCAGCCAGGATGTCAATTGTAGTGAACCATCTGTAATCTGGCAGGAGGAGTCCCATGTCCTTGTCACTACTGTAGATTCCTGGACTGAAATGGACTGTCTTGGATCAAATATATCATACCTTTCCGTGGCCTAAAATGAAACAAAAGAAACTCTTTCAACAAAATAGCCAAGGGAAATGGAACACTCCACATGAAACTGAGAAATTAAAAATATTACTATCAGTTGTTTTATTATGTTATTTTTCTAAAGAAGAGTCAGAACACTTAGTAACAATGAATTGTAACATGTATTAGCTATGTGAACCTAAATAAGTCACTGAGGTCTACAGGATTGATTGGTTAAAAGCAGAAGAGAGAAGAAAAGGGGAAATGATATGTACTGAGAAGCTACGATGCTGTCAGGGTTATAATTGAGATAGTATCTATAGATAAGGAGAAGAAAAAAGATCACAATTAGAAACACTTTAAGAACCATGATTTTTAGAATTCTCTTCTAGAGCTGTAACTCTATGAACTTAAGACTGTAATTTTGAATAGTAGTAACATTTTAGATTTTTTAAAATACAAAAGAAAAAAAATAATAAGCCATTTAACATTTTCAATGAAATCTACATAGTTAAAAAAAAAAAAAAAGTCAGCTGGGTACAGTGGCTCATGACTATAATCCCAGCACTTTGGGAAGCCAAGGCAGGAGGATCACTTGAGGCCAAAGTCTCAAGACCGGCATGGGTAGCACAGTGAGACCCCATCTCTACAAAAATTTTAAAATTACCTGGGTGTAGTGGTGTGCAGCTGTAGTCCTAGCTACTTGGGAGGCTGAGGTAGGAGGATCACTTTAGTTGGGGGTTACAGTGAGCTATAATCATGCCACTGCATGCCAGTCTGGATGGCAAAGCAAAAACAAAACAAAACAAAAACCCCAAATACAAAATTTTCTCTGTGTCATATTTTTAAAGTCAGTTTCAGATTATATTTATTCAGTATGAATGAATATAGCCTAGCAAGTAAACAACTCTAAAAAGATTATATGTCTCTTCCATTGTCCTTTGACAATTTTGTTGTCAATAAACAGAATAGTACAATTTTAATGTGAAATAACTAAGTATACATATAGGCATATAATGAGGTCTAAGCACCAAGAGACCTAACACCAGGACAGCGAAGCATGCATTATAGAGGGATTCACAGTTTTTTTCTTTTTTTTGAGATGGAGTCTTGCTCTGTCACCCAGGCTGGAGAGCAGTGGTTAGACACTGGCTCACTGCAATCTCCACCTCCTGGGTTCAAGCAGTTCTGCTTCAGCCTTCCAAGTAATCGGGATTAAAGGCATGGCACACGCTACATCTGGCTAACTGTTTTACATTTTCAGTAGAGAGAGGTTTCACCATGTTGGCCAGGCTGGCAAATCACTGCGCCTAGTCGAGTAACTCACATTTTATACTAACTCTTCAAAAACTATTTTGAAATACAACCCCTTAGAACCCAATATATTCTGGCCGTGGCACGGTGGCTCACGCCTGTAATCCCAGCACTTTGGGAGGCCGAGGTGGGTGGATCACGAGGTGAGGAGATTGATACCATCTTGGCCAACATGGTGAAACCCCGTCTCTACTAAAATACAAAAAAAATTAGCCAGGCACGGTGGCACGTGCCTGGTCCCAGCTACTCAGGAGGCTAAGGCAGGGGAATTACTTAAACCTGGGTGGCAGAGGATGCTGTGAGCCGAGATCATGCCACTGCACTACAGCCTAGGCAATAGAGCAACACTCCATCTCAAAAAACAAAAAACAAAACCAGATATATCCTTACATTAGTTCTCACATTTAGATTTCACAATGTTTGACACAAGGATAACAGAAAAGGGGGTATCAAAAACAAATGTCAAAAATGTTTTAACTGATACTGTGTCATCTCAATCTGACCAAGATTCTCCAGTCACTACATCAAATGAATGTTTTAAGTTCCACCAAAAACAAACAAAATCCTTCAATGTAATTTTTCTCAGTTTTAGCTTTTTGTCTCATAAAATGGTAGACACAAGATGGCAGCATTCACTAAGCAACCAAATTGTGTTCTTTGTAAAGTGATTTTACAATTTAAATCATGAATCCCTTAAATTGGTAATTCCATAAAAGCAAGGCTTTTAATCCACTTAAGAAATAAATAAGGTACTAGATAAGGCAATAGCTACAGGAGAGAGTGAGGAAGGGGCAAAACTGAAGAGGCGAACATCTTAGAAGATCCTCTTAGGATCCAAGGTCCTATGGAACCCCTAAGAACCAAGAGACCACCTAGTCCAATACTGTAATTCAGCATTCAAGTTACGATTGTCTAGAAGTAAAATGACTTCTTCAAAGTCACACCAGTATGTGTGACCAAAACTTGCTAATATGCCACACCACTTGACAGCAGGCTACATAAATAAATGATTCAGAATCAAAATGACCAGTTATTGCCTGGGAAGGAGTCAATGGCATATAGAAATGGCAATAGAAAGAGAAGGCGCACGAGTTTAAATCCCTGCTCTGCTAGTTATATATTCAGTAAATAACAATCTCTCTGAGCTGCAGTTTTCTAATCTGTAAAGTGGAAAAAGCTTCCAGGTTTGTTGTGAGGACTGACTGATTTAAATGCAGAGCACCCACCATAGCCTCTTACAGGGTAGCCCTCCAAAAACCTTAGCTCTCTTCCCTGGTCAGAATCACTTTAGACCAGCAGTTGGCTAAGCCTGAATTTACTGGGTCCTGACCAGTAAATTGACCCATGCACAACAGTAGACTGACAGGAGGCCACTGTACACAAGTGACTTTGCATTTTTGTGTATGGCTCTCATTTGAAGACTTCTAATTCAATATTAAAAATTCATATAAACTGTTGGGTGTAGTGGCTCAGGCCTGTAATCTCAGGATTTTGGGAGGTGGAGGTGGAAGGATTGCTTGAGACCAGGAGTTCAAGTCAAGCCTGGGCAACATAGCAAGACCCTGTCTCCCA